GCAGAAAGGAATTAACTGAACTAGCTAGCAGAGAATTAGGAGTGATGGAATAAGATGGAACAAAGTTTATTTATATGTTAGGTTTCTAAAACTTAATTATAGATTCACATGCAATTCTAAGAAATAATACAGAGAGATCTTGTTTATGCTTCACCTTGTTTCCCCCAATAGTAATATCTTGTATAACTATAATATGATATAAGAGATACAGTTCACCAACCTTAGTTTTACATGCACACGTGTGTATGTGTGTATGTGTGCGCACTTATTTCTATGGAATGTTATCATATGTATAGACTCACGTGACCATCATTACAGTCAAGAACAAAATAGTTCCATCACAAGGTTTTTCTCATACTACCTACTATTTTAATAACCATATCTTCTTGCCTCTAAATTCCACTCCCTCCTTAATCCCTGGCAACCACAAATCTGCTCTCCATCTTTGTAATTTTGTCATAAACTGAATCACACAATTACTCTTGAGATAGAAATTTTGTGTTCAGCATAATTCCCTTGAGATCCATCAACATTCTTATACTAGTAGTTGTTCCTTTTTTTGCTGAGTAGTATTCTGTGGTATGAATGTACCACAGTTAAACTATTTATTCATCAAACGATATTTGGGTTCTTTCTAATTTGTGGCTATTATTAATAATGCCACTCTAAATATTTGGGTACAGGATTTTATGTGAATATACATCTTAATTTCTCTGTGAGAAATGTCCAGTAGTGCAATTGCTGGGTCATACAGTACTAATATGTATAGTTTTTTAAAGAAACTATCAAACTGTTTTCTAGAGTGACTACAGCATTTTACATTTTCACCAGCAATGTATGAGCAACACAGTTCCTAGTTTCTCTACATCCTTGAATTTGTGTTGTCACTATTGTTTATTTGAGCTATTGGAATAAGTAGGTAGTGAAATCTCAGTGGTTTTTAAAACATTTTCCTACTGGCTAATTATGTTGAACATTTTTCATAGGCTTATGCTATCTGTATATTCCCTTCAGTGAAGTGTTCTTTCATTTATGTTTGGCCCTTTTCTAACTGAATTGTCCTTTTACAGTTGATTTGGGTTTTTTGTTTGTTTGGGTTTTTTTCCAGATGGAGTCACGCACAACCCAGGCTGGAGTGCAGTGGTGCGATCTCGGCTCACTGCAACCTCTGCCTCCTGGGTTCAAGCGATTCCCCTGCCTCAGCCTCCCAAGTAGCTAGGATTACAAGCACGCATCACCATACCTGGCTAATTTTTGTATTTTTAGTAGAGACGGGGTTTCATATGTTGTCCAGGCTGGTCTCGAACTCCTGACCTCAGGTAATCTGCCTGCCTCAGCCTCCCATAGTGCTGGGATCGCACCTGGCTACAGTATTCTCAATACAGTTGAGTTCTGAGGGTACTTTATATATTCTAGACACGAGTCTTTTGTCAAATATGTGGTGCCTTCATCCATTTTTGTTGCTATAAAAGAATAGCTGAGGCTGGGTAACTTATAAAGAAAAGGGTTTTATTTGGCTCACTATTCTGCAGGCTGTACTAGAAGCATGGCACCAACATCTGCTTCTGGTGAGGGCTTCAGGCTGCTTCTATGCATGGCAGAAAGGGAAGGGGAGCCAGTGTGCAGAGATCACATGACAAGAGAGGAGGCATGAGAGAGGGGGAGGGTGCCAGGCTCTCTTCAACAACCAGCTCTTGAGGAAACTCCTTGGGAACTAGTAAAACCATAACTCATTCATTACTGTGAGAATGGCACCATGCCATTCATGAGGAATCTGCCATCATGACCCAAACACCTCCCATTAGGCCCCACCTCCAACATTCAGGATCAAGTTTCAACACGAGGCTTGGAGGGTCAAATATACAAACTATACCATGTGGTTTGCAAATATTTCCTCTTGCATATTTATGAAAATTTTCTCTTGGTAGCTGGCCTTGAAAGGCTGCACTGCCTACTCCCACAAGGTCTAATGATGATCCTGAGATCAACAAGTTCTAAACATCAGTCTTTTTTTTTTTTTTTTTTTTTTTTTACCATCACTAGACTGGTGACCTAAGGAAAGGCAGGACCATTGCAGGTGAGTCCTATTTCTGTTAAAAGCTTATAATGGACTAAGTACTGGGTTAGGACCTAAAGGATTAAAAGGCATCCTCTGTATTCAGAGGGCTAGTTTAGGGAAGGAGACATTTAAATAAACCAAATACTAACAATAACAATCTGGCATGCTAACTACTAAGACACTTTTCCCAGGGTACACTTATCACAAGGGAGAGAATCTAAGATTAGGCAGCTTGGGAAGTCTTACTGGAGAAAGGCTTTCAAGTACAGTTTAAGGAAACATATTTTTTTCATAGTTCACAGCAGGTCCTTTTCCCATATTACAACATATTTTCCAACCTGTCCAAATTTAGTTCTACTCTCCTTTCACCATAAATAAATAAGAAAGGCATACATGTGGATGATGAGCACTCTGATAATTCTCTTTAGGGAGGTCCACATGGTACTCACACGTTCATGTGTTTCTGTGTATGCATTTTGCAATACCTGCCAGTTAGCTCTAAAACAGTCCCAAGATGGATCTGAGCCCTTGTGGTATCTTGGCACCTTTTCTGTAAAATGAAGATATTGGAATGTCTAATTCACAGGATATGAGGATAAAATAAAATGATAAAAGCTCTTGAAAGGTGACTGACACATAACAAATATTAGATATTTTTATTATCATGATGCAAAATCCATTCATGTTATCTCCAAGTCCACCATCCACACATTATAAGAATAGGGCAAAAGTTATACAGTAACAAATACGGAGGAGGCAAAGGATATCTTACCTAACTTTCCTAACAAGAGGGTGTGAAGATGTCATGACATCACCATGGATGCAGTAATGGCCTTATCTTCACATAGGAAAGTCCCAGGTGTTAGAAAAGGTGCTATTCATCATAAAGGTTTTAAGGGGAAGCGAAAGGGTGGTGAGTGCAAACAAAAGCTTGGGACAGAATTGGGGCATCTACTTCAGTGGAGCATAACTCACCGTTAGTTTTCTAGCATAGTTTATGGGTCTTTCCTATATGATAGAAAAGTCCAGACAAGAAGTGACTGGTGACCACATACAATAATGAATTTTAAAATGTTAAAATTGCAATTTTTAAAATTGTAATCTTGTCTGTAATATATGCTCAGTGTTACAATACAGTTATTACTTTACAGATGAGGAAAGTGAGGCTCAGAGAAGCTAAACCCCTTACTTATTCAAAATCACACAGCCAGTAATAGTCAAGGCTGGAATCCCAACTAAGCTCTGGCAGACTGAATCCTATACTTTCCCTACACTGAAGAGCCACACGTACTGCTGGCTTCCTTCCCTGACTTCATTATTTTTGCCTAACATCAATAGCATGAATCATTTATTCATGATTGCCCTCGGTAAAGCCATTTTCTTATTCATTTAGGGGAAAACATTGTTTTCTTTATTAATCAGAAGAGAAAATGGTTAACAAAAGTTTGTGTTCCTAATTGAAATGATTCTTAAGATGAAAAGATAGAAAAACATGAAACCCTGCTTACAACACAAGGCTAAAATCAGAATTTGTGGAGATGGATCAATCCAACAGTAAGGAAATCAATTTTTCCTTCCTTGTCGTTACTCATGTTCATCCATCCTTTCGTTGGCATTAACACTGTTAGGCCTGACAAAAACAACAATTTACATATTAATAAAGTCTAGAATTGTGCTGTGCAACGCAGTAGCCACTAGCCACATGTGGCTCTTGAACCCTTGAAATGTGCCAATCCTAAGATGTGCCGTAAGTGTAAAATATACACTGGATTCCAACTAGTATCTAAAAAACAGAGAAAATATTTAATATTTTAAATCACATATTAAAATACCATTTTGAACATAATGGATTAAGTAAATTTAAATTAATTTCACCTGGGTTTTTGTTGTTGTTGTTTTTGCTTTTTTGAAACGGAGTTTCGCTCTTACTGCCCAGGCTGGAGTACAATGGTACGATCTCGGCTCACTGCAACCTCTGCCTCCTGCATTCAAGCGATTCTCCTGCCTCAGCCTCCCGAATAGCTAGGATTTACAGGCATGTGCCACCACGCCCGGCTAATTTTGTATTTTTAGTAGAGACAGGGTTTCTCCATGTTGGTCAGGCTCGTCTCCAACTCCCTGCCTCAGATGATCCGCCCGCCTCGGCCTGCGAAAGTGCTGGGATTACAGGCGTGAGCCACCGCGCCTGGCCTCACCTGTTTTTCACTCATTTAATGTGGCTTCTCGAAAATGTAAAATTACATAAGTGGTTTGCATTTGTGGCTCGCATTATATTTTCATTGGACAGCACTGATACAAGATGAAAAAGAGGGGAGAGTTACATTGAAAGGTAGCACATTTTCTTGAAATTTCTGGAGGGGAAGGTTAAAGCAGAGAGAACGAAGCTTGTTAAACGTAGGTGTGACCTACTGCGGTAAACACCTAGTTGTGAATTAAAAAGGGGGGAACACATATTTTGATTCCGTTTCTACTCCCTTCCCCCGATGCTAACAGAGCAGGTGGCAGTCTCCCAGGGACCAGTCCTCAGCAGTCCGCGGGTCTCGGTCGGAGCCGAGTCGCTGAACACACCTGTGCGCCAGCGAACCCTGGCGCAGGGTCCACGCCCCCTCCCCCCGTGTTTTTATTTTCCGGGCGTCAACTGTCAGTCTCGCACGCCTCTCCTGAGAACTACCAAGTAGCTCCGGCCTGCCTGTGGTAAGCGTCCCCCTCACCCCTCATACCCCCAGCCTGGCCCTAGGAACCCAGATGCCCCTGCCCGAGCCTGGCTGCGGGCCGACCGGTGGCCGAGACGCCACTCGGCGGGCGGCCTGCAGGGCTTGGGGTCCCGCCAGCCGCGAACGGGAGGAGCCGCGCGGGCGCGTCCCGGGCCTCCGTGCCGCAGGGGGCCGCTGTGACCCGCCTGCGCCCCTGCCGCGCCGAAGGCGGGGAGCCGGGTTTTGGGGGAGAATTGGAAAGCCGAGGGTAGCCTCGGGGGGCGGGCGCTCTGGAGTGGCGGGTGCTCGGCCTGCTGTCCGCTCAGCCAGAAGCACCGAGCAGCCGGGCCGCCAAGCCGCCAAGCCGGGCCCGCCGCCCTCCTCCTCCATGAGGCCCGAGTGAGGCGCGGCGGCTACAGCCGACCCGCGGCGCCTTCCCCCCCGCGTCCTATCGCGAGCGCAGCGGCAGCGGCCCCTGGAGGAGGAGGCGGAGGAGGAGGAGCATGTCGGACGGTTTCGATCGGGCCCCAGGTGCTGGTCGGGGCCGGAGCCGGGGCCTGGGCCGCGGAGGGGGCGGGCCTGAGGGCGGCGGTTTCCCGAACGGAGCGGGGCCTGCTGAGCGGGCGCGGCACCAGCCGCCGCCGCAACCCAAAGCCCCGGGCTTCCTGCAGCCACCGCCGCTGCGCCAGCCCAGGACGGCCCCGCCGCCAGGGGCCCAGTGCGAGGTCCCCGTCAGCCCCCAGCGGCCTTCCCGGCCCGGGGCGCTCCCAGGTACGGAGCAGCTCTAAGGGCCCCAGTCCTCCTTGGCAAACGCTTCCCCACGGCCTTCCACGCGTGCCGAGGCCCGACGTTGTCTGCGGTCCCCACCCCCGGTTCCCCGAAAGCATTCCCCGAGAGGGCCGCGTGACCGGGTAGGGACGGGCCCGGAACCGGGTTTGGAAGGTGTCTGCTGGAATCCTTTGTGCGCCCGGCTGGGGGGAGGGGCCGGGTGCGCGGTCTCGGAGTTCGCCGTCCCGGGAGGAAGTAAAAATCGCCTCCCCTCAGCAGCCCTCTAAAGCGCGACCCTAGCAACCAACCACCTCTTTTCCACCGATCCCTTTAAAAAGACACAGGGGAAAAAAGCTCGCAAGCACGCATTTAGAGGCAGGTATGCCCATAAATGAGTCACAGCAAGTCTATTGTTCCTTTTTGTAGGCTGTCTGTACACATCTCGGCGATAACCATAAATTTCATGACGGTTCCTATTTAACTCTTAAAAACAGACGCTTTTCAGATGGGTTTTCAGTATATAGCAAGTTGTTGTACAAAGGAAAGAAAGCATCTAACGCCCGGTTTTTTTCTTTCTCAGAGCAAACGAGGCCCCTGAGAGCTCCACCTAGTTCACAGGATAAAATCCCACAGCAGAACTCGGAGTCAGCAATGGCTAAGCCCCAGGTGGTTGTAGCCCCTGTATTAATGTCTAAGCTGTCTGTGAATGCCCCTGAATTTTACCCTTCAGGTTATTCTTCCAATTACACAGTAAGTACCCCCTTTTTCCTACAACTCTGGGTTAATTTACTGGAATAATGTGATTATTTGTTAGAGTATGTTTGTGCTTTCTGTACTACACCTAAAACATTTTTTTATTGTGAATGTTTTGAATTATTGAACTCAGAATGAAGCAAAGCTGATTCAGGAATATATTTTGTAGTTATATTCAAGGTATTAGAATGTAAGCTTGAGAGTACACATCTGTGTTCTTGTTTCTAGTGATTATTCCATTATGTTAAAATAGACATAGTTTTGGTCCTAATTATTGTATGCAGAAATGTCCTACGGGGTTGTGATAAAGTATTTACATAGGTATAAAGAACGTTTAAACTTTCAGTTTTTCTTTGTAACTTATATAACAACTTTAAAACATAGTCACTTTTCTTAAATAGTCGTACAAAGCACAGTTGGAATATGTAGAAAGGAATTTGTTGTACTGGATAAACCCAGATGAGTAAATGCATAGGGATTAATTGTAGAGAAGTGGGAGGGAATCATTGAAGAAATGATTGATGATACTTTAGCTTAAGTCCTGTCTTTCATATCTTCTTAGTTTTATTGAAGTATAGCAGAGAATACTGTACTTAAGTGTTAGCTCAGTTTCATAGAGTGAACACTCAACTAACCAGCATCACAGTCAGGAAATAGAACATTATCAACATCCCAAAAACCCCCTCTGTCTCCTTCCAGTTGTTCTGATGTCCAAGTATAACCACTGTTTTAACTTCATTGGATAGTTTTGCCTGTGTTCAAAGTTTATATAAATGAAGTCATATAGAATATTTTCTTTCTCACTTTCACTCAGAATCAAGATTACTCCATATTGTAGCATATAATTGGAGGTGACTTATTTTTATAACATTCCATTGCATGAATATATCCCATTTGTCTGACGAACGTTGGTAGCTTTCACTCTTGGGTTATTATGAATAGGGCACATTGTGTGTCTTGCTGGCTGTATGCCTTTATTTCTGTTTGGTATATACCAAGGAGTGGAGTTGCTGGGACTTAGGGTAGCCAGCTTTAGTAGAGACTGCCATGTAGTTTTCCAGAGATTGTTCCACTGTACATTCTGAGTAGTGTATGATTTCCAGTTGCTCTACTTCCTGGTCGACACTTGGTATTTTCTATTTAAGTTTAACCTTTCTGGTGGGCGTATAGTATCTACTTGTGGTTTTAATTTGTATTTCTCTTATAACTGATAATGGCACACCTTTTTTATTACCTCTTTTTGGTTCTCCTTCCATATTTTACAGTAAAAGTATAGAAAAGCTATGTTCCATGTTTTAGATACTCCATGATTCTTACACTGTATAGGAAAAAGCTTTGGGATTGGAAAGAAAAAGATATAGCAGGAAAAGCAATTGATATAGAGTGAAAAAGGCCATCTATCGTGTGAGGCAGGAATGAGAGCATCTTGAGACTTGCCAGAAAATTGTATTTAGCTCACAGAGGAGAAGAACCATTAGAGCGCTATAAGTAGTTGAATAAACTCTTAAGGATGCTTGTTCTAGCAGCCACAAGCAGGTTCCCATTTATTTTCTTCCCTATTGACTTGGGCTATTTTATGATGGAGGTATACAGGGGTGTGTTTGTAACAATCGTGTATCAACTATTTTTACATGGTTCAAGTGACTTTGGGGCTGTAGAGCAGTATATAAAGTAATGTTAGTCCACTTACTTTGAGCCACTGCATCTTTTAGGCATTCCTTGCCATCCTCTTATAGATGAGCACCTCCTGTGCTCAATTTGCCAAAACAGATTGCAGCCTGGCACCTGGAAACCTGTGTGGCCTGCAGGTGTCTTCTCTGGCCCTGAATGGGTTTGTTTTTTCTTTTAGTTGTTTTAATTAATTACCAATACCTAAATTAGATATTAGAAACTTGAATCATAAAATCTGGCCTTAGTGGACTGGCATTGTGATACAGCAAAAATTGGTTGTAGCTGAGTAGAGGCATTCTCTTTAGATGGAGTCTGTGAGCTCTAATTTGCTTTCTGGCTTATTTCATTCATTTGTAATCTACCTGAATTCTACAGGCATTCAGGCTTACTACCCCTATTCTGGTATATTCTCTAGCCTTACTAGTTTACCCTAATCTTCACTCATAGTTAAGGCTAAAAAAGTTTTTCTCGATCCAATTAGCCACAGAACAGCAGAATCCTTTTTTCCCCCTGACTCTTAGGATGAGCTCTTGTTGCAAAGTAAATGTATTCTAGTGGTGGCCATAATCCAAAGTTAGCTACGTTCACTCACTCGTTCAACAAATAGTCAAGTACTTATCATGAGTCAAGCACTGGTGATACAGCAACAAACAAAATGGACAGAAATTCCTGTCTTCATGGATTCTCTGTTCTAGTAGTCTCCTGTCTCAGTTTCCAGACATTTATTGAGTCTGCTTTTGTTCTACACATGAAAATCTGTTTCCTGGTATCCTTTTTCTAACAGCCTTTATGGTAGTCTTCTGCTGTGCTTTCTTAACTCCTTCAAGGCACCAAGCCCTTTTATCTTCAGTTCTTCCTCTAATCCTGCTGCTAGAATTTCCTACTTTCCATGCCTTCTTACCAGTGAGTTGCTATATCCATTTATTCCTGGCCATTGTTTCTTCTCAGACAAACCATTATGCCTTGAATATTTCATCACAGTTCACTTACCAGAGCCAAAAATTTAACATAGGAATTCATAAAGCATTGATTAAGAGACAGAAGTTCCCTCCCTCCCCTGCAAAACGAGCTTTTTTTCTAAGAGAATCCCTCTTCAAGTTACTTCCCAGTTTTTCTTCTGCCTTGCAGTAGTATCATTCTCCAATAGGTAAAATTATTCACTGTCTCTCACTGTTCAAACCTCTGCAGTCTGATCTCCCTAATTATATTGATACTATTTTTGTGACTGATGTTCTTCTGATTTTTAAATTTATCCTCCTAAATCTCATTTTAAAACTTTAAGCACAGTAGGATCTATTCAGTTTATAAGTCCCCATGTGCCAGGTCCTATGCTAGGTGCAAAGGTACCTTTTTAGTCTATCAGAAGCTCCGTCTCATTTTTATAAGAACTAAGTATTTAAGGTATTAATTTTGTTCTTTTTTCTCTCTGAACATAATCTCCTTCATTCCCAAGACTCCGCAATGATTATCCTCTTCCAGATTTCAACCTATGAATTTATTCTGTAGCATTTGTTGTTGTGAGCACCTCTTCTCCCCTACCTCTTTGGCTTCTGTGGCAGTACTTTCTTTATCCTCCCAATTTGCAGATCATTCCTTTTCCCCTCAGATGACTGTTGGTGATGTTCTTTCTTCCATTTTATTACCTCCTTTGCTAATCCCACCTATTCCCTAGAATCTATCACTTATGTGCTAATAACCCTGACATCTTATTCTTCCTTTGAACTCTAGGCATACATTTTCATTTGTTTGACCACTTCCTGAGGACCTCACATTCAAATGCAAGTATAAAATCTATACACAGTATAAAAATTATCTCATGCGAATCTCTTCTTTCTAACTAGCTGCTTACACTAAGAACTGGGTGGCATATTGACTCACCTCTCCTGCACACCCTTGCCGTAGTTCAATCCAGCTAGCTAAAGTAGTCTTGACTGTATTCACTCTCTGTAGTGTCTGATCAGTTTTGTTTTATTCCCACTGTTTTGTAATAGGTTCTCATCTCTTGACAATGTATATAGAGTACCTACCATGAAAAAGTACATTTTCTAATTGATATTGCTCCCAATCTCCCATAGAATTCTAAGAAAAATAAAACTTGAAAATATCCCTGTTTGGAAGCCATTTGATTCCACATTGAAGACTGAAGAAATTTGTGGCTTTAAAAAATCTGGTGCTAGAGAAGTAATGCAGGCTTTGATTCAAACACGTTGGAGTGCCTGTCTGTTCCAAATACTCTATCCCTCCTTTTTTGCTTAAAATGGCAGGCTCTGGATCCTCTGTTCTGCTATATTCAAAGCAGTTCTACTTTCTTCTTTTACTTATCAGATTTTACATTTTCTTAAGAGAGTTCTGTTGATTTAAAAAAAAAAAAAAGGACTGCAAATCAGTGTTCTAAGCAGCATTTTTGCCACAAAGAATGACATTTGATGGAAACAGGAAATTAGTACCTTCAGCTGGGACCCCTACCTTTGCCTTTCTCCTATTCCTTGTCATTAATAGTGGTAGGATACTACAAGTCTATAAAACTAACAACTGTATATCAAAAACTTAAGACTAGTTTTTAGTTATGAAATTCCCATATGTATGTAGTTAACATTAAGTATATGAATGTGTACAATTATGCCTAACTGCTTTCACAATTTTATAATGTCAATATTTATAATGGGAACATTTTCTCACTCTAGAGGTAAGTACTGTTGTCTCTTGTTTTCTTAAATGGCTATATGATATTCCATTATACAGATACATGATAATGTATTTAACCAATTCCTTGTTAATGGATTGTTACATGGATTTTTTGGCAATGAACATATTTGTACATAAAGTCAAAATTGGGTTTTAAGCTTTTGTCATTTGAGTTTCACATAGAAGTTAAAAGTATAGGCTTTGTTCTGCCCCCAATTCTAACTAGTTTTATGACCATGCACAGTCACTTAAGTTGGTGCATGGTCCTTCCTTGCTCAAACCCTCTCCCCCATCCTGTTTTTCCTACTCCCTTAAGAGCCAGTTTCCTTAATTTGGCCCCCAAAGCCCTCTAAGATCTCTCTCCTTATCTGCCTCATTGACCTTATTAGTTACCACCCTTCCTTAGCTTCTGTATTCTATTGTCTTTGTTTTTCAAAGCTATTAGGCCTCCTTGGGGCCTGTGTGCTTTTTGTGCCCTGAGAAAGACAGAGAATGTCTTTCCTTAAATATTTGTATGGCTGGATCTTTTTTTCTTTCTCAGTTTATATATTAACTCTAAGAATCTTTCCTTGGCTTTTTGCTTTTTATTCATTTATTTTTATTTTATTTATTTATTTTTTTGGTAGTATATTTCAACTTCTAAATATGTCTTCCATCATGGGCGATGAGCTCCATGAGAGGAGAGCCTGAGCCTTGTCTGCTTTATTCATGTCATGGCAGTATCCCATCCCCAAGACAGTCTTTGGCACTTAGTAGACACTCAGCAGCCACACCATTTTGAATGAATAACCAAAGTGACTTAACTACTCTGTGCCTGTTTCTTCTGTGAAGGGAGGATAATAATGCTTACCTCAAAATTGTGTAGGTTAAACAAGAGGCAGGCAAAGCCCTTATGGTGTCTATCACATATCTTATATGCAGCTGGTGGCTATTAGCTTATTAATTGGAGTACCATCCTAGGTGCCAAGAAATACAGCTTTGTATCATTCTTTTTGGATGCTTTTTATACTTTAGCCCATTTATGTATGAATATATGGTTTTTACATTTGGAATATGACTCAGTATTCTCCTAGAAATTTAAAATGTAATTCATTTGTTGAGCACTTTGTGCTTTACTATGTGATCTTCACCAGTCTAGGCAAATTTGATTAATTCACTTAATCCTCAGAGTCATAGCTATAATATCTATGATTAGTAAATAATTTCATCAATATTAATACCTCCTATTATAGTAGAGTGTTTAACTTGGGTTCAAATGTGTGACCAAAATTTAATGTATTAGAGTTTATATATCCTTCTATTCAATGAACACTATACGTGAATGAAAAAGGCACATGAATCTGCTATTTCTACAGCTGGTTTTACTTCCTGAGTGCCTCTCATAGTACATGCAACTTTTGCTAAGTATCCCTTCAGTCTCTAAAGATACATAGGCCGGGCATAGTGACTCTTACCTGTAATCCCAGTGCTTTGGGAGGCCGAGGTGGGTGGATCATTTGAGGTCAGGAGTTCGAGACCATCCTGATCAACTGGTGAAACCCCATCTCTACTAAAAATGAAAAAAAATTAGCTGGGCCTCGTGGTGCATTCCTGTAGCCCCAGTTACTCCGGGAGGCTGAGGCAGGAGAATCGCTTGAACCTGGGAGGCAGAGGTTGCAGTGAGCAAAGATCTTGCCACTGTACTCCAGCCTGGGTGACAGAGCGAGACTCCATCTCAAAATAAATAAAACAAAAAATAAAGATACATAAAAAGTGTACAACATGACCTCCAAATGGTGGTCATTTGAAGTAGTAGCACTATAGTGGTCCATTTTCATGCTGCTGACAGAGACATACCCGAGACTGGGAAGAAAAAGAAGTTTATTTGGACTTACAGTTCCACAAGTCTGGGGAAGTCTCAGAATCATAGCGGAGGTGAAAGGCACATCTGACATGCAGCACCAAGAGAAAAATGAGGAAGAAGCAAAAGCAGACACCCCTGATAAACCCATCAGATATCTTGAGACTTACTCACTATGACAAGAATAGCACGGGAAAGACTGGCCCCATTGATTCAATCACCTCCCCCTGGGTTTCTCCCACTAACACATGGGAACTCTGGGAGATACAATTCAAGTTGAGATTCAGGTGGGGACACAGCCAAAACCATACCAAGCACCAACAGTAGAGGAACAACTGGACAATTGGTAGTGTTAGTCTTTCTCCTAAGACCGTGTCCTGGGCCAGGCGCGGTGGCTCACGCCTGTAATCCCAGCACTTTGGGAGGCCGAGGTGGGCGACACCTGAAGTCAGGAGTTCGAGACCAGCCTGGCCAACATGGTGAAACCCTGTCTCTACTAAAAATACAAAAATTAGCTGGGCATGGTGGCACATGCCTGTAATCCCAGTTACTTGGGAGGCTGAGGTACAAGAATAGCTTGAACCCGGAAGGTGGAGGTTGCAGTGAGCCAAGATCACGCCACTGCACTCCAGCCTGGGCGACAGAACAAGACTCTGTCTCAAAAAAAAAAAAAAAAAAAAGACTTTCTCCAACGTGGAGCATTTCTAAGGGTGTTTTGACCACATATGACTTTTTTTTTCCTCTATGCACTCACTGACTTTAGAACTTAACCGCTTCACAAAATGCTTCTGTTTTGTAGTCGTAACTTTTTTATGTGACTTTTCTGTTTTGTTTTTTTTTGTTTTTTTTGGTTTTTTTTGAGACAGAGTCTTACTCTGTCGCCCAGGCTGGAGTGCAGTGGCCGGATCTCAGCTCACTTCAATCTCCGCCCCCCCCCGGGTTTATGCCATTCTCCTGCCTCAGCCTCCCAAGTAGCTGGGACTACAGAAGCCCGCCACCTCGCCCGGCTAGTTTTGTATTTTTTAGTAGAGACGGGGTTTCACTGTGTTAGCCAGGATGGTTGCAATCTCCTGACCTCGTGATCCACCCGTCTTGGCCTCCCAAAGTGCTGGGATTACAGGCTTGAGCCACCGCCGCGTCCAGCCTATGTGACTTTTCATTTGACTCTGTTTGGAGAAGGTTAAATTTCATCAAGCAATATAGTTATTATTAGATTTTAACTGTTTGGTAAAGTTTAAAGCGCTTTGGGTGGTATTCCAGGCCCTGAGATGTGAAAGTTGCTGCCCAAGTCTATTATCTTTTGTAAAACTCACCCACTCAGCCTCCTGCCATTAATGAAAAGGTTGGGAACTGCCAAAGGTGACAGTGGTGGAAACCACATTAGCTGGAAACTACTGCTGCTATCAAGGTTTTGTTAGAAACCTGGATGTAGCAGCCAGAAGATCTCCTTCCATTTACACTATAATGAAATTTTAGTTACTCGAGCAACTTTGTGCATTTCTTTGCCCTTGGGGATTAACAGATGATAAAACTTACTAGGTTTTTGTGTTTTTTCCCCCCCAATAAAAAAGTTGTCAAACATCTGCAGAAGTACAGAGTATTTGGTAGAATGAATCCTCATGGCCTCAACAGTAAGCTACATGTGGCCATTCTTGTTTTTATATCCCTAGTCCATACTTCCCCTTCCATTTTGAAGCAAATCCTAGATCTTATTTCATTCGTAAATAGATCCGATTCTTAATTTTTGTATTGGCACTGTACTGATATATTGGTTTAAACTTTATTTCTCAGCCGTCTTAGAAGTTGACCCAGAATGAGAAGACAATTCCCTATTCTGCTAAACAGAACCTTTCTGCTGTTAATATTATAACATTTCAGCTTTTAGGCAAGGAAGAAAAATAGCTCAATTGACAATTTCATTGATGAATGTAAATTTTTATCATGTGAAGGATCTTTAAAAAAGCATTTGTGCTAGAGACATAGCACTTTGTGTGTTTCAGCCAGTTGCATAGATTAAAATTTTTTTTTCATTTTTGATCCATAGGAATCCTATGAGGATGGTTGTGAGGATTATCCTACTCTGTCAGAATATGTTCAGGATTTTTTGAATCATCTTACAGAGCAGCCTGGCAGTTTTGAAACTGAAATTGAACAGTTTGCAGAGACCCTGAATGGTTGCGTTACAACAGATGATGCTTTGCAAGAACTTGTGGAACTCATCTATCAACAGGTATGTTGGCTTATAGCATGAAATGACCTTCAGATAGCTTCCTTGAAGCCCAAGGATAGTGGCTACTCCTTGAAGGAGACCAGATTCATGATCACCTGCCTCCACACTTAACTCTTTATAGTTTCTGGGAGTTCTAAGTCTGTCTTGTTTAAAATTCCTGTAGTTAGGGATCGAAGGGCAGAGCCAGACTGGATTGCAAGTTCACCTGTGTAGTCAAGGTTCTATAGGCAGTATTCACCTGTTCGGCCAAAGCTCTATACAGGCAGTGTAGTATAGAAGGTGATATGGGCACTGAAAAGGAAGGCTACATAAGTGCCACCCACCCAAGTAAACCCTGCCCCTTGTTTTGCAGGCTCTGAGATTAGCAGTACCAGAAAAGACTGCAATTCTTTTCCGCTATGTGTTGAATTGAATAGTAGTATTAGAGTAAGGGAGGAAAAAAATTAAGAGAATTTGCTTGCCTCATAAATAAGTCTTTAAAAAAAGAAAGCCAGACCATAAAACGTCCTGTCTTGAGTCTTAACATTTCTACTTGTCTTTGCTTTCTTTTAAAATTTAAGGATTTCATCTTAATTCCTTGAAAATCTAATTTAGTCAATTGAAATTGTTTCATTATACAACATTTAGTTTTGATCCCAGTATATTGGTCATTAGCATATTAACACTTTTTTTTTTTTTTTGATATGGAGCCTTGCCCTCTCTCCCAGGCTGGAGTGCAGTGGTGCAATCTCAGCTCCCTGCAACCTCCACCTCCTGGGTTCAAGCAATTCTCCTGCCTCAGCCTCCCAGGTAGCTGAGATTACAGGTGTGCACCACCATGCCCAGCTAATTTTTGTATTTTTGATAGAGACAGGGTTCCACCATGTTGACCAGACTGGTCTCGAACTCATGACCTCAAGTGATCAGCTTGCCTTGGGCTCCCAAAATGCTGGGATTATAGACATGAGCCACACCTGGCCTCATTAATGCTATTTTAAAAGTGAAAAATACAGTAGACAACACTGGCTTAACACAAACTTAGTGTGAGACTGGTCAAAAAAAATGGGCCATGATCAGAAATGTAAACTTTAGGTTCCTTAATTCATTGCTACAAGAGCAACTCAAATTTGGAATATATGGAAGGGAGATTATAATGCAAATTAATGATTATTTTCTATCCTAATGTTTCATTTGGCTGCTTTTCCAAGTTATTCTGGATGGTTACTGGACCCCAAGACTACCTAGCCAACTGTCAGGTTTGAGGAAGTACCTGAGATGTTAGGAAGACAGAACTGCACGATTTGTTCTCATTTCTGCTTTTTGCCGATAAATAGATTGAAAAGGAATATGAGATAAGAAAATGAAACAAATATATTTATTTCTTGTTGCCTTTCTGGCTTCCTCCACTATTCAGTTTCAGTTACTCAGTAGTCTGCATTATACTTATTCAGGGCTGGACAAAGGGTCAGTAACCTGATAAGCTTCAACTATTTCTCTGATTGTCAAATATGTAGTCAATATACTTAATGTTTTAATATTCTATGATCAGTGATGCATAGGTTTATCAATAGCTGCTAAGTTTCATTGAGGTAATTTATGGAAATGTACTCATAGCAACTAACAACAAGGACGTATTATAAAAGATGACAGATTAAACACACATTCAGCTTTGATACCTCCCAAACACCACTAAAATGACACTATGGGGATATTTAAAAGGCACATAAGGACAGAGAAGAGGAAAAAAAAAAAGCACTAGTTTTGAAGACTAGAAAGCAGGTGGGTGAGTGGTACCTGACTTGGCAGATCCAAGCCAGTGGTGGTAAAGCTGAGAATCACCCTGATTTGCAGTGCAAAACCTAAAAGGTTCTAGAATAAGGATGGAATGAGACTAAAAGGATTGCTTGAGAATCTAAAAAGTTAGACCATCTAGATCTTTTTACACTGACCAGCCAGTTTGAAATTTTGTTGTAACCCTTCTTATGAAATTAACAAAGGAGGTACTCTGTCAAAAAGAGGAATTATGCCATGGATGAAGACATGGGAACTAGGAAAAGGAACTTTACAGGAGAGACTAAGTGAGCTGTCCAGATGATGGTTCAAAGGAGATCTCAAAACAATAATGGCATGCATAGTAGGTCTGAAGCAGCCAGGCTTCACTGGACTAGGTCAGAAGACTCTAGGAAAGACTTCCGTAATAAGATGAGCACATCTGCTGTAAGATATGAGAAGAAATTTACAGACTAGTGAGTTTAGGGATAAATCAATGAGAAGAATATAAAAATGTAGGAAAAACTGAGTCTAGGGAAAACAAAGTTGTGCAGAAAAAAAGGTAAAAGCAGTGTAATGCAAGATTCAGCTATAAATGAAAACACAGCAAATGAATAAAATCATAACCATACTGTGATAGTAGGAAACAGTAGAGTGGGGTGAAATTAAGCAGAGTGAAAGCTAAAAGCTCATCTTCCATGATGGGAAATTATAAGTCGAGTATCCCTTATCTGAAATGCTTGGGATTTCAAGTGTTTCAGATGTTGGATTTTTGTAGATTTAGGATATACAGTATATAATGAGACACCTCAGGGAGGATACCTAAGTATATTACAGCTGAAGGGGGTTGACAGGGTCTTTTTTCCTTTGGGGATGCTGAATAAATTATGTGTTGTACACCTGTGTTTTGACTGACCTGTCACATGAGGTCAGGTGTGGAATTTTCCACTTCTTTTTGGCATTATGTGGGCACTCGCATTTTCTGATTTTGGAGGATTTTGGATTTTTGAACTAGGGATGCTCCAGTTGCAGTAAGAAATAAAAAAGCTAAAACGTCTAAACTGAAAAAGTATGTAGTGTGGAGATAACGCGGGTTAAAATATTTTTAGCTGAAGGAGTCAAAAGTGGTTGTCTTTGGGAGTAAAACTGGTGTGTAAGTAGGGAAGCAGGAAACTGTTGAATGACAAGCCTTGTGGAACTTGTCTTTAAATCATGTGTTATAACATTAAAAAGAAGCTAAAGGAAAATATGCAGTGCCAATAATGGGAAAAGTGTAAGTATGAACTTTAAGTCTTGGGTACCAGCTAAACATACATGATGTCAGGAGAAATCACTCTTTCTCCCTTAATGTGACATGTACTGGCCCCATGTGAGCAAGGAAATAATTAGAAATAAAAATTACTAAGTAGACCCAACATAGGGTCAGAGGGGCAGCAGGACATTTGTTAGATCTCGATTCTATGTTCGATTACCTTTGTGGCCAAATCCCCTAACTTTTTCTTTTTTTCTTTCTTCTTCTTTTTTTTTTTTTTTTTTAAAGACGGGGCTTTGTTTTGTCACGCACACTAGAGTGTGCAGCCTTGAACTCCTGCACTCAAGTGATCATTCCACCTCAGCCTCCAGTGTAGCTGGGACTACAGTGCATGCTACCCTACCCAGCTAATTTTAAAAATTTTTTATAGAGATGGTAGTCACACTTTGTTGACTAGACTGGTCTTAAACTCATGGCCTCAAGTGATCCTCTGACCTTGGCCTTCCAGAGTACTAGGATTACAGGCATGAGCCACTGTCCCTGGCTTCTTAACCTTTTAATGTGTGTTTTCTTACCTTATATTAGATTGTAAACTATATTCTCCACTATTCTTTAGAAATTGCTATTAAACTTGCTGAACACTGCTTCAGTTATATCACACAATCTTTGATGTGTAGTGTTTTCTTACTGTCTTTTTTTTTTTCTTTTTTTAAGTAGCTTAGCTGTTTTCATTTCCTCTTTACCCAGTCATTCTTGGAGCATTCTTTAAGTGTCAGTTGCTTGTGCCAGGTACCATTAATCACCTCTTTAAAGTCTAACTGAAGCTCAGAAAGGTTTATTGATATCCAAAGTCATGAAGAAGAATGCCAGGGAATCTTGTCCTGGACTGCCAAACACTAAAGTCTGTGCTTTCCTGCCTCAAGAAGCCCCACTGCTCAACAGTTGGGCAATATTCTCATTCATAATTGTCACTGTGCAGTTGTGGCCATGTACAGATTTTCTGCAAAAAAAAAAAATGGGTTAGCACAGGAGACATTGTCTCTTTGCTTTCTGGTAGCCTCAGGTAACTGATGGGTTTTTTTCTTTTTTTTTTTCTTTTTTTTTTGGAGTTATTGTGGTTCTTGCTGTAAGGTTGGGAGGGAAAGTGAACTTAATTTCCTTAAGCCTAACAATGACAAGAGGCTTGTATATATGGTCAGTTTGGTGAGTCAATTTTTTTCTCTTTAGAATGTTGCTGTTAAGGATTTGCATTAATAATGATGTACCTATGTCATATGACACTTTTCTTCTTTTTAAAAGGCCACGTCTATCCCAAATTTTTCTTATATGGGAGCTCGCCTGTGTAATTACCTGTCCCATCATCTGACAATTAGCCCACAGAGTGGCAACTTCCGCCAATTGCTACTTCAAAGGTGAGTGTAAATGTGAAATTAAAGGAAAACTACTAAATATACTAGAATTTAACCATTCCTCAGACCATATATTACAGAAAGCTGCAGGAAAGAATAGGGCAGCCCATTCTTATGTGCATTATATTTGAAGTTTATAGTTCAATATACCAGTCTTTTTTCTGTAATGGTCTGTGAATTTGATTTGTGTTTAGAAAGGCCTTCCTTTTCCAAGATCTTAAAAATAAACACCTATGTAATTCTTATTACTGTGGTAGCTTTGGTTTGAATAAGGATTTAATTTTATTTAGATTAGAGTAAAAATGAATAATCCATTTTTCCTTATTGATTTGAACTGCCACTTTTATCACACTGCATTATTTGGGTTTTGATTCTGGATCTTCATTCCATTTATCACTTATTCTGTTCCTTTTTATTACCATACAATCGCTATTAAAAAGCTTTTCTTTTTTTTTTTTTTTTTGACAGAGTCTCACTTTGTCTCCCAGCCTGGAGTGCAGTGGTACGATCTCAGCTCACTGCAACCTCTGCCTCCCAGGTTCAAGTGATTATTCTGCCTCAGCCTACCCAGTAGCTGGGGCTACAGGCACCTGCCACCATGCCCAGCTAATTTTTGTATTTTTAGTAGAGATGGGGTTTCACCATGTTGGTCAGGCTGGTCTCAAACTCCTGACCTCAGGTGATCCACCCGCCTTGTCCTCCCCAAGTACTGGGATTACAGATGTGAGCCACCCCCCCCCGCCAAAAGCTATAATTTTTTAAAACATCTTAGGGTAATTAGTGTTTTGTTCATTTTCTGGAATTTTCCCCCCCACCGAGACCGAGTCATGCTCTGTCACCCAGGCTGGAGTGCAGTGGCTCAATCTTGGCTCACTGCAACCTCTACCTCCGAGACTCAAGCGATTCTCGTGCCTCGGCCTCCCGAGTAGCTAGGATGATAAGTGCGTACCACCATGCCCAGCTAATTTTTGTATTTTTAGTAGAGATGGGGTTCACCGTGTTGGCCAGGCTGGTCTCGAACTCCTGACCTCAAGTATTCATCCACCTCAGCCTCTCAAAGTGCTGGGATTACAGGCATCAGCCACCATACCCAGCCTGTCGAATATTCTTTGCTATGCTTGTTTCGTCCAATGAACTTTAGAATCAGTGTTTGAAATTACACAAGTCTTGTTAGTATATGTTAGATATTTTGGAGATAATACTCAATTTATAAGCTAATTTAGGGAAAACTAGTTTTCTTATAATTTGATGTCTTCAATAACAAGGTTATCTTCAAGTTTATTATAGTTTGTCCATTAGTTTTTTTAAGTTACTTTTAATGCTTGCAAAGCATTCCATTGTGTGGTTAAACTGCAGTGGAACAGAATAAAGATTCTAGAAGTATACCCCAGAGACCTTTGAAAATTCAGGCTGTTGATAAAAAGATAAATTGTGCTGGTAGCATAACTGGATAGTCATTTGGGAAAAAAAGATGAGTTCCTGTGTCACTCTCTGTGCTAAAATCCCAAATATGTCAGAGACTTAAAAGTGAAATGATAGGCCGGGCGCAGTGGCTCACACCTGTAATCCCAGCACTTTGGGAGGCCGAGGCGGGTGGATCACGAGATCAGGAGATTGAGGCCATCCTGGCTAATATGGTGAAACCCCGTCTCTACTAAAAATACAAAAAAAAAAAAAAAAAACTAAAAATACTATATATATTAGCTGGGCGTGGTGGCGGGCACCTGTGGCCCAGCTACACGGGAGACTGAGGAGGAGAAAGGCGTGAACCTGGGAGGCGGAGGTTGCAGTGAGCCGAGATCGCGCCACTGCACTCCAGCCTGGGTGACAGAGCCAGACTCCGTCTCAAAAATAATAATAATAATAAAAATACTTGGAATGGCCCAAAACAGTTTCGAAAAATACAGATGACAAAGTTATAAAAAGATATCTAACCATACTTAAAGAAACACAAATTGTAGCTTCTGTAAAGATTCAAAGTGGGTACTTGTAGGTGGTGGGACGCCAGGAATGCTCACTCATGTTTTTCAGTGCTTCTCACCCGCCGCTGTGCCTTAGAGTTACCTGAATACTTAAAGCCGAGATCCTGTCTGAACCATTTGAAATTCTGGTGTAATTAGATGACGTGGAGCTAGGGCATGATTTTTTAAAGCTTCCCAAGTGATTCTACTGTATAGCTATGATTGAGACCCACTCTTCTATTCTCGTTGACTGTTACCCACCATATGTGCTTCTATAGTACTGTAATCCTGTCAAAGATAATAATGTAAAGAAAGCAGAGCATAATTCTGCTACCTCTTTAAAAAATATATACATACTTTGAAAAAGATGGAATGGAAGTTACCTTCACAGCAGTTATCTCTTGTTTTTAGTGGTATTACAGGTGACTTTGTTCTTTATACTTTTTCTGTTTTAACCTTTCCAAAATAAACGTACATTTCTTTTATAATTGAAAATCTTTAGCTTAAAACGTTTGACTTTTCACCTAGTCAATTATGTAGGTATTTATGTTTGCATGTACATAATCGTTTCCTAACGTACAATCTGTCATAGCATTTTATGAAAAAAGTTATTTCATCAACTCTTGCCAACAAAGTTGTAACAGAAAGAAAAGCAGCCAACAGGTGTTTTTACATAACTGATTTGGCATTAATTAACAGATCTCTTCCATTATTAACCAGAATGTACTATCTATAAATATCCCAACTTTTTTCTGATGAGGAATTTAATATGTACAAGATAACAAATATCTTACCACGTTTGACTCAAACAGAAGATGTTGCTCAGTTAATATACCTTGTAAACATTGGAATTGGCCACATAAGGCACAGTAAGCTGTGCTGGGGTTTCGTGGTTGACAAACTGACCCAGAGTCAATTACTGAACAAGAGGTAGTTTATTTTTTCTTTATTAAAAATTTTTTACAAAGTCAACCTAAACTGGCTGCATGGAAACCATTCAGTACCCATAGCTTTTCCCTTTGTGTTTAAAAGGAAAACTGTCAAAACCAGTTTTATAAAACAAGTTACTTTCCCAGAGTTTTCTCACCTTATCAATAAAGATTAAAAATACTTAATAACAAAATGATAAACTTTTACAGTCCAGTTTTAAAATCTATTTTAGTAACAATATCTGACACCGTAATTCACTTATGAAGGCAGTGACAGGGTTATTGTGCCTAGTTTAGTTACCTTGTAGGAACTATGACTGACAATAAGCTCCAAGAAGAGGATTTCTTCTTTTTGTCATCTGTGTGAAGCAAATGGGTCAAGTCAGGGGCAAACAGAGCAAGGAAAAATCAGTTATTTGAAGCTGTCAGTCTCGTTGGAAATAGAGAACAAGTCCGGTGCTTTCTCATTGTGGTTTTAATGGGGGAATTTTTTCCTCACATGAATACTTCTCTGATACGTATAATGGAAATTACAAGAATAACGGACTTAATTCATTTTATTTTCAATTGGAGGCTGTGTGCATGTGTGTGTGTGTGTGTGTATGTGTTTGTCTGTCTGTATTTAAAGATCCTTTTCAAAGTTGTAGTATAAAAAAATTTACAGAGACATGTAAAATCAGTGCTTTCTTAGTAAAAAACCTGTAAGACAAATAAGGTGAGGCTCCCTCTCCCTTCTTTGGTGCTGCCAGTATGCTGTGAATCTGATTATACGTGTGTTGCTTAAACATATTACAAATTTGATAAAAATAGTTGAAAATAAAACTGTCAGTTTTTTCAAACTGGGAGTCTTAGTACAAAAACATGGTGTATAATCTAGCCTCTTCAATAAGCAGTTTATTGTAGAAAGAGCATTGGGACATTGTCCTTGCCTCTTGCTGTGGACAACCAAACTGACAAATGGTTATCTTGTTTGACTATTTAAAAAGCAAAGCAATGTGAGATTATAAAAGATATGTCTTTAATTAGATGTCGCACTGAATATGAAGTTAAAGATCAAGCTGCAAAAGGGGATGAAGTTACTCGAAAACGATTTCATGCATTTGTACTCTTTCTGGGAGAACTTTATCTTAACCTGGAGGTGAGAAGTTTTTCTTTTGTTAAGTACTAACAAGGCCTGAGAACATAAGTTGATCTCAATGAGGAATTTGTGTTCATATTGTATTTTTACAACCTGAAGAGTGAAATGAAGGAGGAAAGAAAACATGTTTCAGCACCTACGTTTACTGGACCGTCTGTCCATAACATTTGCTCATGGGCAGGATGTTGGGAAATAATTACTGAGGTAAAAGTCTGCATGCTTTAGGAAGCTGTGGTTTACATGCAAATTTAAGTTCTTGAGATATCAACAGTAATACCTTTTTGAATTCTTGCATCTTATATGTTAATACGTTTAGTATGTTGACTTTCAGATGGTGGTTCAAAGCAATTTACTCTGCAGAACTCTGAGTGAAAAGAGAGACTAGGCTTTTCACTCTAATTCACCCAAATAGTTTTTTAAAAAATTTATTTTTTTAATTGACAAATTATGGTACACAACACTTTGATATATGTATACATCGTAGAATGGCTAAATCAAGCTATTTAACATATGCATTATTTTACTTTTTTTATTTTGTTAAGAACACTTAAAATTTTTAGCAGTTTTCATGTATACAATATATTGTTAACTATAGTCATCATGATGTACAAGAGATCTCTTGAACTTATTCCCCCTAACTGAAATTTTGTGTCCTTTGACCAACATCTCCCCAATCCCCCAACCCCTAAGAATAGTTATTTTTGTCCTATTTTATATATTAATCTTCCACATAAAAATGCATTTGTACGAAGTCTACAGCTAAACATATTTATAAATTTGAGTGGTATACTTAAGTATATGCTTGTTAGTAGGCAATAGAAGTGCTGCATTCAGCACAGCATTATTACTGTGTAATGGATTTGCTTGAATTTTTTTTTTTTTTTTTTTTTTGGCGGGGACAGACTCTCGCTCTGTTGCCCAGGCTGGAGTGCAGTGACGTGATCTCGGCTCACTACAACCTCCACCTCCCAGTTTCAAGTGGTTCTCCTGCTTCAGCCTTCTGAGCAGCTGGGATTACAGGCACGTAACACCACGCCTGGCTGATATTTATATTTTTAGTAGAGTTGGGATTTCACCATGTTGGCCAGGCTGGTCTCAAACTCCTGACCTCAGGTGCTGCCCGCCTCAGCCTCCCGGAGTGCTGGGATTACAGGCATGAGCCACCACGCCCAGCCTCTGCTTGATTTTTTAAATTAGTGAATCTCAGATATAAGCTTATACCTTTATACTCTGATTTGAGAACCTAAGATCATAAATGCCATAATATCAGAAACATCATAAGACAATGTGAATCTATCAAATGTGCATCTCAGTCATTGTATCTAAAAGGTCTGTGTCCAGTCCAGAGCCTTACTATGCCTTTTTATCACAGGTGGACTTAGTTTTTTGAAAATCTTATGCCATGTTCTTTTTCAGTCTAATTTTTGTTTAAGCCAAAATATGAACAGCAGTCTAAAATAAGAATACTGTTGAGCATTTTCTATATGGAGATAATGATGCTAGGTCTATGGGGGATGTAAAGATAAGGTTTAGTTCCTGCACCTAAAATTCTTCTACCCAGTGATACAAGATACATATACCACTCTGATGCAAAACAGAATATTTTAAAATATTTTAAAAGCAGAATAAAATGCTGTGTGTTCAAAAAAAGTGGTAGTTGAACAAACTAGAGAAAGCTTTATGAAGCAGTAACATCAAAGTGGCCTTAAATTATGCTGACTCTGTGATAAATGGATATTAAATTTTACCCATAGCTTACCAGTTTTATTAGAGGTCTTAGTTACATATAAAGTAATTCCAAGTCTGTGAAGATATCAGAGTGTATTCCGATTACTTTTGTCATTTAGCTAAAACACTTATTTTGCCAACGCCTTGTTCATTTATGTATCTGTATTATATTTTGGCATCATTCCTTTTGTTTTTTTCTCTTTTTTTTTTTTTTTTTTGGTCCCAAAAGATCAAGGGAACAAATGGACAGGTTACAAGAGCAGATATTCTTCAGGTTGGTCTTCGAGAATTGCTGAATGCCCTCTTTTCTAATCCTATGGATGACAATTTAATTTGTGCAGTAAAATTATTGAAGGTAGGTTTTTTTTTTTAAATTATTTAACTAATTTACCTATTATGATTTAGAGGAAGGGAAGTCTGTATAGTATTCAAATGAATTTAAGATTAAGTTATTACTTTAAGGTAAATATTGACATTTTACTTTTTCCCAATTATTTTGGAAAAGCAAGATATACTTACTATGTAATATGTGAAGCAAGTTCAGAAGTGAAAAATGGAAGTCCTTTACACCATTTCCATTTGCAAATTCTGTCTTCTTCCCTTCTTATCTCTGTATATGTGCTCTTATTAAATAAGATCTTACTCTGTTTTGGCTTTTTTTTGTTTTTGCCACCTAATGAAACATCTTAAATTTTTCCATGGCACACACAATAAAAGAGGTATCTCTTATTGAATAACTTCCTAGTATTCTGTCGTATGCATATGCATTGTTTATTCATTCCATAACATTTATCAATGTTTATTGATGAATATTTGGATTATTTTCAGTTTAGCCACTACAACATTGCTTGTAATATTTCCTCTTGTCTTTATATGTGCAGATACTTTTGTAGGTTAAATTCTTAAACACAGATTTGGTGAGTCGATGAGCATATGTACTTTACGACAAGTAATGGCTAATTTGCCTTCCAAATGCTGAACCAGAGTATAGCCCCATCAGCAGAATGAGTACATCTCTTTCTACATCCTTATAGTGATGGATATAGTCAATCTTGGTTTTTGTTTTGTCATAGATGATTCTAAGCATTTCTTCATGTTTATTAGCCATTTGCTTATTACTTTCTATAGATTACCTGTTTAAATTCTTAACTCATTTATTTCCTGATGAAATGCGTGTTTGTGTGTTTTTTTTTAATTCAAAGCTTCTATGTTGCATGTTGTATATTTCAAAAAAGTGATATGTTCATTAAAATCTAATAGCCTATCTTAGTCATACAGGGAATATAAAAGTCGTTGACATAAAACCCATGATTAAAGTTCTGCTATCATTTATTTTTTAGTTTCTCTCAGTGAAGAGAAATACAGAGGGCATAGAAATCACTGACTATTAGATGATAGAGAAGAATTAGGAATATTAAACTCGCTAAATTCATCTTGTTTAGGAAATGCTTGAACTGTTACTGATATCTTTTTAGAATTTCTGTAATACGCTATGGAATTTCTTATTTTACTGACCCCTGCTTTTTTAGTTGACAGGATCAGTTTTGGAAGATGCTTGGAAGGAAAAAGGAAAGATGGATATGGAAGAAATTATTCAGAGAATTGAAAATGTTGTCCTAGATGCAAACTGCAGTAGGTAGGAAAAGAAGTAATGTAAATAGCCAGTACATCTCAATGTCTTGCTTTTTCTTTGGAGATTGTTTTTTAATTTGCTGTACTTCAGCAGGGTAGTTGATGGCTAATGGATATGCAAAAATACTTTCTTTAAAGGAATAATATTTTACCTATAGCTTCTGCTCACTAGACATTTTTGTGATAGACATGTGTCAGACATTTTTGCTCAGAAATTGAAAAAGCTAATTTTCTTATGTTAAAATATGAATTAAATGAAAAACAAAATCCAGATATTAACTGTCCAACAAATAAAAGTACTACTGTAAGTAGAGTAGGAGACATAAAAATGTTGTTTGAAGGATAGCCACTGCCTTTAAGGTCCATATAGTTATGGTTACATGGAACATAATTCAAGGCTGTTTTTTTAAATGAATTTATGTCATATAGGAAATGTCTAGAAAGTCAAGGCCTCAGATGTACATGTTAAATTAAGAAAATAAAGTTTTAGGAATTTGAGATATTTTAGGGTCTGACAGCCCTTATGGTGGATACACTAACTCATTTTCAACTTTTTTCTACAGAGATGTGAAACAGATGCTCTTGAAGCTTGTAGAACTCCGGTCAAGTAACTGGGGTAGAGTCCATGCAACTTCAACATATAGAGAAGCAACACCAGAAAATGATCCTAACTACTTTATGGTATGCCACTGTTTGGATTTTAAGTTTTGCTTATTGCTTGAATTCAGTTTTGGAAATTAGAAGATCTACATAAAGCTGTTCTCAGAATTCAGTGCCTAATAACTGTCTTCACTGGCTTTGAGTGACATGGCAACCATCAGACTGGGTAAAAAAGAGAAGAGACCTAGAATTCTCCAGTGAAAGGGTGGACTAGAGAAAGATCTATCCAGTGGCAAGAGAGATTGACAAGGCTTGGACTTGAGCACAGGGATGCCAGGAAGCAGCTTTTCCAGAGAATTCATAACCAAGGACCTGCATCTCAGACTTTTACTTTGCATGTTGTAGTAAAGAAAAATAAAATAAAAATGGTTGGCCAGGCGTGGTGGCTCACACCTATAATCCCAGCACTTTGGGAGGCCGAGGCAGGCAGATCACCTGAGGTCAGGAGTTCGAGACCAGCCTGACCAACATGGAGAAACCCCGTCTCTACTAAAAATACAAAATTAGGTGGGCGTGGTGGCGCACACGCCCGTAATCCCAGCTATTCAGGAGGCTGAGGCAGGAGAATTGCTTGAAGCCGGGAGGCAGAGGTGGTGGTGAGCTGAAATCATGCCATTGCACTGCAGCCCAGGCAACAAAACAGTTCACTGAAAGACAATAGGCAGCACCGTTAGAACCACAAGAAATTGAGATAATAGAATGGAAATCTGAAAACCATAGACTTTCTCAGTGAAATGAAAATGGCTACTAGGAAGTTAGGTTCTTTCGCTTGTTCTTGCATTATCAGGTGCAGATGAGTGACATCAGCCATGCTTCATTATTGTACTTATAAAAATCTATTCTGAAATGATTACATATTTTTATCACTTTGATTCATCCTAGAACGAACCAACATTTTATACATCTGATGGTGTTCCTTTCACTGCAGCTGATCCAGGTATGTTGTCTCACAGTCATTCCCTCCTCCCAGTTGTGTGGTAAAGTAGTAAATTTACAGAAAACCACATCCTCACCAGCACAAAATTATAACTTTTTGATGTCTTCACATCATTCCAAAATACCGGTGTAATGGTTTGTCTAATATAGAATGCTCTTCATAGTGACCACTTGAACCATTTCAAATGAAAGTCTGATTCCACATATAATGTCTTGTCACCTAACAACAGAGGATGGGAAGGATTCTCAATTAAATGCAACTATTTTAATTTTATATTTCCTCTAACATTTTTTTATAATCTTAAATTTTCAGGTGATTAGATGGAGGGGAAAGACGGTTCTAGTTCACCACATAGTCAGCGACATATATTAATATGGGTTAATACTTGTCGACACGAAGAATTACACATTTCATTAATACTTGGTGTGTGAGAATTAATTAAAATCGAAATCTCTGCACATTTCCTCTTCCAGAAGAGGATCATTTATAGAAAGATTGCCTTAATTGTAATAGATGGGACTGTAGAGTGAGGAAGAGAAATTTTTCCCATTTGGTACAAACTGCAACCAGCTTATGGTTGGAATTTTTTCATTTGTTTCCTCTGGATTCCAAGCATTGACTGTCCTGTGTCTCTAGCACAAAGAAGTTTCTTTAGGGCAAGGGAGTAGAATTAAGTTATACATTATGGGCATCTTAAACTTCACTAAATGTTACTAAATTGTTTTCCAGCATGATTATGCCACTTAACATTCCCATCAGCAGCACATGAGGGTTCCTGCTCCTCATCTTTGGCAATACTTTTTATTAAACTTAATTTTTATCCATCAGATTGTATGAAATTCTATCTTGCTGACACTTTATTTTCCTGACAAGTTATATTGAAGTTTTCTTGTTCCTGTTGACCTTTTTGATTTCTTTCTTTGAGAATTGCCTGCTTATACTCTTTGCTCATATTTCTGTTGGATCATTTGTCTTACTGCTTTGTAATTACTTGTGTAGTCTAGAAAAAAGTGATTCTTAGCTGAGGGTTTCGGTTATCTTCTTTCTCTTAGTATTTGGCTGTCTTTGCATTTTGTTTGTAATGTCTTGTCATGTAGAACCTTTGAGTTTTAATGTAAACAAAATTTCAGTCTTGTTTCTACTTTCTGTGGTTTAAGAAAGTTTCCTTACCACTTCTATTTGCTTCTAAAAATCATTGTTGCTTTTTATATTTAGGTCTTTAATCTACCAGTGCAATTTTTATATAGGAGGATATCATAGGAATTAAGTATCTTTTCCATTGCCTGTTGTCTCAACAATAGATATTAAGCCATCCTTCCTTTCCTAGTTATAATAAGCCCCCGTTGTTGTATACCATGTAACTCTTCTATAAAATTGTGTGTCTTATTCCTGTGTTTGTGTGAATCTTTTTTTCTGTTAATCTCTTTCTATGCCAATACTACACTTAATTATTTTTACCTTACTGTGAATCTTGCTATGTCTAGTAAGACAAATCTTTCCTCTTATTCTTAAAAATTACCTTGATTTATTTTGATTGTTTTTGTCTAACCTGTTTGTTTCTAGTACTGTTTGATTTACAGAAATTCAGTTTGGTTTTTCAGTTTCTTTTCAAGGAAAAGAAGTAATATAGACAGCCAATAAATCTGTTTCTTTTTCTTAAGGGTTTTTAAATCTCCTGTACTTCATGAAAGTAAATGAAATCTTAGTTTTACATAAAAATCTAGCTGAATTTTGTTTCTGCATTTTGTTCAAATAATCTTGACCTTTTCTCAGTTTCAAGTTAATTTTTCTCATTCTAAACATGCTTACTTCTGTTATATATTTTTGTTTTATCATCTTAATTATAACCCTTGTTATTTCTGATCATCACACATAAAATTTTTGCCTTAACTGTCTTTCTTAAACTTTAGTTGGAAATGATTTCAAACTTACAGAAAAGTTATAAAAGTAAAATTGTACAAGGAATACCTTTTACCCAGGTGTACTTTTTGTTAACAGTTATTTGCTTTATCATTTGTGCTCTTTCCACACACTCTTTTTCTTTTTTTCTTTTGTTTTTTAGAGACGGAGTCTCACTCTGTTACCCAGGCTGGGGTGTAGTGACATGACCTCGGCTCACTGCAACCTCCACCTCCTGGGTTCAAGCAATTCTCCTGCCTCAGCCTCCCGAGTAGCTGGGATTCCAGGTGTGCACCACCACACCCGGCTAATTTTGTATTTTTTTTTTTTTTTTAGTAGAGACAGGATTTCACCATGTTGGTCAGGCCGGTCTTGAATTCCTGACCTTGTCCACACATTTTTTTTTTTCTTAAACCATTTGAAGTTTCATGTTAATATGACCCTGATTGAATGCTTCAGTGCTTTGTCTTTTTTTTTTTTTCCTCATGAAAAACACTATGACTTGGATTATAGGAACCTCTATCCAAAATGGTTTTACATTTGCTTCTGCCAGGAGCCACAGAGTAGGTATCACTGACTTGGACAAATTTTTTATTTTCTTGTCATAGGGGTTCTTTATGTAGGTAGTAGGAATTTGAGGTGCAGGCCCATTGTTAAAAATTCTCTGGAGAACCAGTTTCTACAAAGTGCTCTGTCCCTACTCCAAACCCAGGCAGAGACGACCAAGCTTTCCTGCTGTCTCGCTTATATAAAACGCCACTGAGATATTTTTGGGGTTTTTTCCTGATTCTCCTTTTGTTTAAGATACTAGCCTTTTGAGGGCCCCAAGTTTGTGCAGGTGAGGTGGGCATGGAGCATGGATTTCATCTTCCTGTTTCACATGGGGCCCAAGACCTTGCTTTCTGACTTTCTGTGGGTTTTAAAATCCAAGCCCCTTAGTTACTGAGACCAACATCACCTGTCAGCCTCCCAGCTGCAGCAGCTGCAGTTTATGTATGGCTTTCAGTTCCTTCTTCATTTGTGACCTGATGACTTGGTTTTTCTTTTCTGTGAACTCATCTATACATTTAAAAGAATGTCTTAGCTAGTACCTGAAGCATTTGTAGCAGGAAGGTTTTATTGTTAAAACTGTCTCTAAATTGTCAAAATTGACATGTATCAGCATGTCCCTAGCCCTTGAAGCTGGAGTTAGAGTTTTATACAGACTGACACAGTCTTGGAAAAACATGGCTTTTACACAGTCTAATATAATTGCAAAATTTCCATTGGATTCTGTTCATAAGAAACTAATTATAAGATAACTAGTCTTAATATATACGGATTCATTTTTTTTTATTCAGAGGTTAGGACTTCATAAAGAAATACTTTCCTTAAAAGGTACCCAGTAACTCTTCCTAAGACAATTGGCAGATAGCTGTGATATCACCGGTATTACTTTGGAAGATCCAATGAAGGGAAAGTTGGCAGAGCTGAAACATTTACCAGGTAGCTGCCTTCCCCATCTCTCTGGGAAGAAAGGGAAGGAAAATCACCCATTGTCAAAACTTTTGGTAGGTTAACCTCATCTGAGCAACAGAGACCATTTGCTGTTACCTGCTTACTTTACCAGATAGCTTTCTTTACTTCCTTGTGGAGGAGTTCAGAGGGAGCTGGAAACCAGTAATATTTGATTAATATCTTTCCAATGAAAGGAAAAACAGGAGTATGGAAGAACTGTTCTTCCCCAACAGTTATATAACCATTATTCTGTCTGATGGAAAGCAGCAGTAGAGAATGTAAACAGTACACATTGGCCATGAATGTACATCACCTACAATGGCTTTGATTTCCAACTTATATTTATAGTACTTTATGTAATTACTTTAAGATTTCTGAGCATGCAGGGGGGCAAAAGTCATAATATTTAAAAACATTTAGGGGTGATTGGTCATTTCATGTGATATTTTTTCAGCATTTAGTTTTTCTCCTATGTTGTCTTACAGATTACCAAGAGAAATATCAAGAATTACTTGAAAGAGAGGACTTTTTTCCAGATTATGAAGAAAATGGAACAGATTTATCTGGGGCTGGTGATCCGTAAGTTTTCTTTACTTACTAACTTTGTGAAATTTCCATGTCTGATTTGTAGGTGGAGATTAGACAAAGTAGCTCATGAAAGAATGGTGTCTGGGGCCAGGCGCAGTCGCTCACGCCTGTAATCGCAACACTTTGGGAGGCTGAGGAGGGCAGATCACTTGAGGCCAGTTCAAGACCAGCCTGGCCAACATGGCGAAACCCTGTCTCTACTAAAAATACAAAAATTAGCCAGGATCACAGAATCACAGCTACTCAGGAGGCTGAGGCACGAGAATTGCTCGAACTTGGGAGGCAGAGGTTGCAGTGAGCTGAGATCTTGCCACTGCACACTCCAGCTTGGGAGACAGAGCTAGACTCTGTCTCAAAAAAAAAAAAAAAAAAAAGGCATTTTGATATTTTGATTTGATAGTGCTATGTGGTAGTGGTTATGTGTTAAAAATTTTCAGAAAATTTTATTAACTCACAGACTAGTTCTGAAAAATGTATAGTTGAGGAAAATAACCATTAAAATATAGTATGCCTAAGAATAATTATTTTTTTTAAATAGATTCTATTGTATCTAGACTTTAAGAAGTTCTAAAACGTACTGTAAGATCGTGGGCAACTTCTGTGTCTGCTTCTATAAAATAAGAATAGTAGTACCTGTCCTTGAGTCTTTTTTTTCTTTTTTTTTTTTTTTTTTTTTGGAAAACTACATGAGAATACATAAATACTTAGCCTTCTGGCACACAGTAGATGGCTCAAATCTTAGCTATTAAAGTATAAGAGTACAGAAAACAGATTACTATGTAAAAATGTTTGAACTGATAAGATGTTAATTATAGGACTGTTTTTATATCTATTTCTTCACCTGCCACTCTTTGTAATTAAAGATCCCTTTAACATATTACTCAATTACCATCAGATTACACTACATTTTCTTTTAGAAGGACCAGGAACTTGTGAGGTTTAGTCCCAATTCCGTTAACAACTTGTGTATATTTGGACAAGCTACTTAGTTTCTTTTCTTCCTAAGAAGGAGATGGGAGGGAATAAATTATATCTTGAACTTATTATTTTTTTTTTTATATCTCATCTCCTGTGTTGTAGATTTTTTTAAAAAGTGAACCACTTTTATTCTAGTGATATTTTAATTATGGGTCAGTTTGAGATCTAGAAATACAATTGTTTCCATACTTCTATATCCTAGTTTAATAGAAAACAAAAAAATACAGGGACCCAGGCAAAACTAGGAAAGTTCCGTCTACCTGGGTATACCGCTGGAAGATAAAGTTGTTCTTGGCATTGAACTTTAGGTTATCCTCTTAAGTTTGTTTGGTAGCATCATATTCTCTTGCCCTAATGAGCTCATGGTTATTTAAACACATTGCCCTGTATTAGAAATGGGGAAGAAACAGAAAAGAACTCATTAGCAGTTGGTAGGATTGGCAAGACTGTTTTTTCATGCTTGTAGGTGGAAGGGATTGGATTATTGGAGGGGTGGGGAAGGTGTAGATAGAATCATGTTGTGGAGGAAAAGCGTAGAAAAGGGGGTAAGACCTGGAGTCAAATTCTGGGCCCGCCACACACTTAAAATTTTACATTGTTCATTTAACCTTCCAGAGTCTCTCTATTTTCCATCTCCAAAATGAAGATGATCATAATGCATATCTTTTTAAGATGGCTATGAACATTCAGTAAGAATGTGTAGATTAAATCCTTAATTGTACACTTTAAATCTTTCCCCCCGTAATTAACTATGGGAAACCTTGCTTTCCACCATTTTAAACTACCTAATAGTTGAAAAAAAATCTGGAATAGATGATCTCAAAAGTAGCTCCCTATGAAAATCTGATTCCAAATAAACGGGAATGTGACTAAATTGTCATCATGGGAATAACCCAGCAGAAATCATAGCAGGAATAGCACTTTGTTATTAAGTAGACATAAAATATTAGTGCATCACTAGAGGTGAATGGCATATTTCTATTAATAGTTATATTCTAATTGTTTATTGGTAAGGTAAATTTATTAATATCAATCTTGAGCCCCAAGTTTATATGTCAAGCCTTTGATTAACTTTCAAGTTACAGAATTTAACTTATGTCTAAAAGTATATATATGCTTTACTGTAATTTCAGATACAAGGGACTCAGAATCTGTAAATTTTTACCTATCAAATTAAGCATTTGGTTGTCCGAAGACTGCCATTAATGTAATTCTAAAGTTAGGCTTGTGTTCTATTATAACTCAGTCTAGGAAAATTGTATTACATTTTTTTTTCATGATTTAGCATCTTATTTTCTGAATTGAAAAACCTTACACTCTTATGAATCATCTTTGCTTTTACAGATACTTGGATGATATTGATGATGAGATGGACCCAGAGATAGAAGAAGCTTATGAAAAGTTTTGTTTGGAATCAGAGCGTAAGCGAAAACAGTAAAGTTAAATTTCAGCATATCAGTTTTATAAAGCAGTTTAGGTATGGTGATTTAGCAGAACACAGGAGAGCAAGAAAATGTGTAACACCTATACCAAATTAAGGATGTTGAGTTATGTTACTAATGTATGCAACTTTAATTTTGTTTAACACTATCTGCCAAAATAAACTTTATTCCCTATAACTTAAAATGTGTATATATATAAAATAGTTTATTATGTACAGTTAATTCTACTGTTTTGGCTGCAATAAAATCGATTTTGAAATAAATGAAATGTTGAAAATTTTGCTAGTTGGTTAGATGCTTATCCTTTAAATTCTACTTTTCTTGAGGAGAAAAAGTCTTCGTCTGGAAATACATATTACTGCAAAAATGTAGCATCCTTTTTTAGGTAGGAGTATTATGGCTTTCATTTTAGTTTTTACGTTTAGTGTCCCAATGAATTGAATTTCCAATATGAATCATAATCTTGAAAATCTTTAGCACTAAAGTCTTGGAATGTATCAACAACTGACTTACATATGCAGATGCTATTTGATACCAGGGGCTTTTTAAATGTCGTGGGGCGGCGGGGGGAAAAAACCCTAACTTGGTGAACTCCCAACTAAACAACCAAGACTTCACTGAAGATTTATTCCAATTCTAGAATTGTTTTGTTTTGTTTTGTTTTGTTTTCTCAACTGACCAAATTCATTACTTTAAAGCCTAGAACATTATTCTGCTTTATTTATATGGCTTTCTCACTTTTATTTTGTAGCATGGGTTGCATCGACTTTTTTACTAGAGAATTTTACTAGATATTTGTCATTCAAGTTTTCATCTGCTTTATAATTGATACACCTTGAGGGTCACTTTTCTAATACTTTTACTATAATGTGGTACCACCTCAGCCCTAATAAATAATATTTTTACCTAATGTCAGATCTTTTTCCAGCTAACTAAAAATAAAACTATGTACAAAAGGATTGCTTGTAAATATGCATGTAAATAGTTCTGTTAATAACCCACTGTTTTACATTTGGTACATCTGTGTCTGCTAATACAGTTAGCTTTCTCACTTTTCTGCTTGTTTGTTCAGTCTGAATTAAAATTAGACTTTGAAAATAAAGCTTAAATAGTTCTGTTTCCTCTAAATTTTTGAAGTAGTATCTGGTATTTTAAATAATTTGCTGTTGAACTTGTTTATATGAAATAATGAATTTACTTAATGGTTTGAAATCAAATCAGAAGATACTTTATTCATTCTCTGAATAAGAATTCATTAACAAGTCTACCTTGAAAAACTAGCAAATATAAGACATTAAAACTTTAAAATTCCTTCTGTAAAGGAAATATGTATGTAATTGTGGTTTTCAGAAGTTGTAGTAATAAATATTTTTTTCAAAATGGCTCCTGTAACATGGCAGCTATTAACATAATCTGCAGTTCTCTAAAGATAGCACTGACTATAATATTGGAGGGAGAGGACGTGAAGAGAAGGGGTGGTACCTTAGACCAGGGACAAGGAATGCTAACTGCATATACTTGAAACTTCTAGCAGCTGCTCTCTGAGTAACCATCCAGTATTTGCTCTACTCACAGTAGCTACCAACAAAATCAGTATCTGTTCCCGGTATTACTCACGCTTAATTTTTTAAAAAGCACAGAAACCTAGCATTTAAAACAATCATTTTATTATGCTCGTGGACTTATATGGTTCAGGAACTTGGAGAGAGTACAATGGGGATGGCTTTTCTCTATTCTATGATGTCTGAGGCCTAGGCAAGGAAAACTAAGGGCTGAGGGTAATTTGAACATCTGAGAGCTATAATCATCTGGATTCATGGTACTGAGATGACTTAAAGCCAAGACTAGATTGGAATGGTTGACCAGAATTGTATACACTTGTCCATGTAGCTTGGACTTCTAACAGCATGTTGCCTGGATTCTGAAGGGCCATTTCAAAAGACCCAGAAAGCAGCTGCATTTGGAAGTTATACGGCATTAGTTCCATTATATTCTCTTGGTCCTAAGGGATTCACTAAAACCATATCAGATAGGAGGCCATCAAGGAGCATGTGGCCATATTTTAAAACTGATGGCTTGAGCCTGGTGGTCTTTGGTTTACCAGACTTTGCATAATTGACTGCAACAGTACATAATGAAAGGAAGAGTTGCCCCTGTCCACAATTGTTGGCCTTTAGAATTGTCATGCCTTAAATAGAAACATGTCAGTAAGTCTTGAGGAAAGATCATTTTCCAATGAGCAAGGACACAGAGCTGCTAGTAAATATAATCTTGTGTCTGGCAACAAAACGCAAATATTGGTCTTAACCTAGAAGTCATGTCATCAACTCTGACCCTCTGTCTTTATGTTGTTAATGCTCTCCAGCCGTAGACTACCAGGAACACACCTGTACCTGAACATGTTGAGCTTATTGGGTTTTGTTTTTGTTTGCTTTTTTTTGTTTTTTGAGGCAGAGTATTGTTCTTGTTGCCCAGGCTGGAGTGCAGTGGCGTGATCTCAGCTCACCTCAACCTCCACCTACTGGGTTCAAGCAATTCTCCTGCCTCAGCCTCTCAAGTAGCTGGGATTACAGGCATGCACTACCATGCCCAGCTAATTTTGTATTTTTACAACCTTGTGGGAGTTGTGGGGTGCATCACTAAGAGTGTGTTAGAAAGAACCTGTGATAGGATTTGGGCTTTGGTTTGGTGATTGGGGGATGGTCTAAGAAACTTGAGGTTCACTCTAGGCTGGGTCTTGACAAAAAGCAAGCTTAATTCTATAATTAGGTACTTTATTAAATCTTTAGGGAGGACAGATGCATATGGATTAAGTTGTACTTTAGAGGGAAAAATCATTCACATTTAATGAGAGGAGGATGTTTGGTATGAAAGTAAACTCTAGGACTCAAAAAGTGGCTTAAACTGAAAAAAAAGCTCCACCACTGACTGTCAGGGGGACAGGCAGATAAAGGCAGCTGCAAAGTTAACATGAAATTGTTGGGTCCTGCAGCAGCTATAAAATACCATCATGACTCCCTCCTTATGTGACCACTGCTTTGTTGTTGGCTATGACACCCTTAGACTTACTTTGCTATAACCCATCTACTACTGGGGATATCCAGTTGCTAAACTTGCCCTCACCTCATTGCAGCACCCTAGTTAATTCTCACATCTAATCTTGCTACAAAAATAGCATCCAACCCAGTACTGGTCTCCTTTCCCTTATAGCTTGCTCAGAACCCTACATTGGGAACCCAAACCTTACCAAAGATGGCACCCCCTGCCCTTTTGTGGAATGCACCATCTTTGCTGCTTCTGGTTCCCTTGCTTGCAAATCAATAAATGATTTTGTCAGAAGACAGGCTTGAGCCTGGTGATGTTTGGCGGACTAGACTTCAGCAGATGTAAATAATTTAAGCTCACGTATGCTGCTGCTGTATTGTATCAGCCTGGCAAAATACCAGCCCTGGATGAACCCAACACTACTTCTGCATCCTTGCAGCTGGAGGTCATGTTTCTGGTAGGTTTTTATCACTGTAAATTCATGTTCAGCACATTGAGTTAGGCTGTCAGTACTGCCAACAATCTTAATGTGCTTCTCTTCAATCCTTCTGTAACTATTTCAAACCCTTTTCACTCTAAAGGCCCTTTCATCCCATAACTAATTACTTCGCAGGGAAAAAACAAAAAAAACGTGATACCCATGTACACAAATGCATCTGCATTCACTTCATCCCTCCTCTTCCTGTACAGGAAGAATCCCTCCTCTTATTAAAGGCCAGTTATTCAACATGTGTTGGAATCCTATCTCCTCTCGTTCTCTCATGGAGTCTGTTGTTACTTGGTCTGTATTTTTCCTCTCTTTCTCCATTCGCTCTTTCCATGGATTGTTGAACACGCCATTCTCATCAGAAGAAATCTGCTTCTCATATTTCTCTCCAACCACAGTCCTATCTCTGCTTCACAGTCGGACTTCTCAAGTGTCTTCCCATGTTTTCCATGTCCTTGCCTCCTATTTGCGCTTAAAACCCACTATGGCTCCTGCCCCCAGTATATACAGTGGCCCTCACTAGAGTCACCAATGACCTCTATGTCACCAAGTTCTGGAGAGACTTCATTCTTAGCTTATCCTATGGCAACATGTGACATTGTTAAGTGACACTAAAATTGAAAACCTCAGGCCGGGCATGGTGGCTCACACCTGTAATCCCAGCACTTTGGGGGGCCGAAGGCCGAGGCAGGCGGATCATGAGGTCAGGAGATCGAGACCATCCTGGCTAACACGGTGAAACCCCGTCTCTACTAAAAATGCAAAAAATTAGCCGGGCGTGGTGGGGGGCACCTGTAGTCCCAGCTACTCAGGAAGCTGAGGCAGGAGAATGGCGTGAACCTGGGAGGCGGAGCTTGCAGTGAGCCGAGATTGCACCACTGCACTCTAGCCTGGGTGACAGAGTGCGACTCTGTCTCAAAAAAGAAAAAGAATAAACCTCTAGGCATTTAGGACACAGTTAACTTGCTTTCTATCTTTATGCTGTTCCTCATCAATGCTTTTGTGGGCTTCTCTTCCTTTACCTAATCTGTACATACTAGTGTTCTTCAAAGTTCAGTCCTAAACATTTTCTGGTGTCACAAGAGTCTTGGACTATGTCATCCTCTCCTGTAGCTTCAGTTAGCAGCTATCAGCCAGTGACCTCCAGATTTGTTTCTATCTCCTGATTGCAGACCTTTACTAATTTACCATTTCCACACGTGAACTAACAAAATTTAAATCATGCTATCACTAAATTTTCTCTTCCTTTTAACATCCCCCTCATCAGTAGCACTGCCACCTATCCACTTGTCCCAACCAGAAACCCTGGCATTGCCTATGACTCCTACCCCTCCCTTAGCCCCAAAGTTCAACCATCACCAAATATAGAGTCAGTCTCCTACATATTTCTTGGAGCTGTGCTCGTCATCTTCACTGCCCAAGTCTTGCGTCCAAGCTGCCATGATCTCTACTGTTGCTTATTCAAAAGCCTTCTACTGGGCTATCCATATCAACCCTTGCATCCTATAATCCTTTCTCCACTTCGCAGTTCCAAGAATCTTTCTAATGTACAAATAGCATCACAAAACTCTGTAGTAGACAGGATTTCTATATAGGAGGTTCTTAGACATTGGAAGGTAAAAGGTGGGGGTGGAAAAGGACTTAAGTTAGCATTATATAATACAAACTGATGTTACAGGTCAATGAAAATGTGATCATCTAAGGAGGCCTTTATTTACACTTCATGTAAGATATCGATTTGCATATCAGCCTTTTTAAAATGGAGGTGAATTAGAGGTTTAGGTTGCCCCCATCCTGTGGTGCTGCCACGTTTGCTTAAACACCTTGTTTTTTTGTGTCATTTTGTTTTGTTTTGAGATAGAGTCTTGCTCTGTCGCCCAGGCTGGAATGCAGTGGCATGATCTTGGCTCACTGCAACCTCCCCCTTCCAGATTCAAGCAATTCTCCTGCCTCAGCCTCCTGAGTCGCTGGGATTACAGGTGCCTGCCACCATGCCCAGCTAAATTTTGTATTTTTAGTAGAGATGGGTTTTCACCATGTTGGCCAGGTTGGTCTCAAACTACTGACCTCAGGTGGTCCGCCTGCCTTGGCCTCCCAAAGTGCTGGGACTACAGGTATGAGCCACCAGGCCCGGCCTACTTAAACACCTTGTAATAAACAATTATACCTCAATAAAGCTGTTTAAAAACAAACACAAAACACAACTTGGCCAAAAATAGAGACCTCTTTTTTTCCTAATTTGGTGTCAGAGAATATAAATTTTGAGTCCATAAATCCCTAATGTTCCGTAGTCTGCCTGCCTACCTCTATATCCCACTCCAGGAATCCCTCCCATTCAGGCCTGTTTCCTCCCTAACTATGGTTAAACCACACTTGCTTTCTTTCAGTCCTTTTAAAGGGAAAGCTCTTTTCCCTTGGGCCTCACAGCCTTAACACAGGGACCTTAACCTCTGCTTGAAATACTTTTCCCCCTACTTTACCTGACTAACACGTACTTAAATTTCAAACGTCAGTGGAAATATTTTCTCAGCTTAGGTTAAATCTGCTCATTAGAGGTATACCATGGAGATATTGCTAGTTCCATTCCAGACTACCACAATAAAGCAAATATTGCAATAAAGTAAGTTGAGAATTCTTTGGTTTCCCAGTACGTATAAAAGTTATGTTTATACAATACTGTAGCCTATTAAGTGTGCAAAAGCATATTTTTTAAATGTACATACCTTAATTTAAAAATTCTTTATTGCTAGAAAATACAAATGATCATATGAGTCTTCAGTGAATTGTAATCTTCTTGCTGGTGGAGGGTCTTGCCCTAATGTTGATGGCTGTTGACTGATTCGGGTGGTGGTTGCTGAAGGTTGGGACAGCTGTGGCAATTTCTTAAAATAAGCCAACAATGAGGTTTGCCTCTTCCTTTCAAGAAAGATTTATCTAGCATGCAATGCTGTGTGATAGCATTTTAATCACAATAGAACTTCTTTAAAAATTTGAGTCAATCATCTTAAACCCTGCTGCTGTTTTATCACCAAAGTTTATGTAATATTCAAAATCCTTTGTTGTCAACAATACTCAGCATCTTCACTAGGAGTAGTTTCCATTTCAAGAAATTACTTTCTTTGCTAACCCATAAGAAGCAACTCAGGCAGGGTGCCGCGGCTCACGCCTGTAATCCCAGTACTTTGGGAGGCTGAGGCAGGTGGGTCACAAGGTCAGGAGTTCGAGACCAGCCTGGACAGCATGGTGAAACCCCGTCTCTACCAAAAATACAAAAAATTAGCCAGGCATGGTGGTGCATGCCTGCAGTTCCAGCTACTCGGGAGGTTAAGACAGGAGAATTGCTTGAACCCAGCAGGCGGAGGTTGCAGTGAGCTGAGATTATGCCACTGCACTCCAGCCTGGATAACAGAGCAAGACTCCATCTCAAACAAAAAAGCAACTCATCCATTCAAGGTTTATCAGGAGATTGCAGCAATTCAGTCACATCTTCAGGCTCCTCATTCTAGTTCTCTTGCTGTTTCCATCACATCTACAGTCACTTCCTTCACTAAAGACCTGAACCCCTCAAACTCAACCATGAGGATTGGAATAAACTTCTTCCAAACTCCTCTTAATGTTGATATTTTGACCTCCTCCCATGAAGCACAAATGTTCTTAATGGCATCTAGAATGGTGAATTTTTTCCCAAAGGTTTTCAATTGATTTTGCCCAGATCCATTAGAGAAATCACTCTGTATGGCAGCTATAGTCGCACGAAATGTATTTTTTAAATAATAAGACTTGAAAATCAAAATTACTTCTTGACTCATAGGCTGCAGAATGGATGCTGTGTTAGCAGGCATGAAGACAACATAAATCTTGTACATTCTCATCAGAGCTCTTAGATGACCAGGTGCATTGTCAATAAGTAGCAATATTTTAAAAGAAATCTATTATTCTGAACGTCATTTTCAACAGTGGGCTTAAAATATTCAGTAAATCATACTGTAAACAGATGTGCTGTCATCCAGGCTCTGTTGTTTCTTGAGCACAGGCAGAGTAGATTTAACATAATTCTTAAGGGCCTTAGGATTTTGAAATGGGAAATTAGCATTGGTTTCAACTTCAAGTCACTAGCTGCATTAGACCTTCACAAAACAATCTGCCTGTCCTTTGAAGCTTTGAAACCAGGCATTAATTTCTCTCTGGCTATGAAAATCCTGGATGACATCTCCCACTAGAAGGCTGTTGCATCTACATTAAAACTCTGCTGTTTAGTTTGGCCACCTTCATCACCGATCTTCATTACATCTTCTGGATAACTTGCTGCAGCTTCTACATCAGCACTTGTGGCTTCACCTTGCCCTTTTATGTTACAGAGATGGCGTCTTTCCTTAAACTTCATGAACCAACTACTGATAGCTTTAAACTTTTCTTCAGCTTCCTCACCTTTCTCAGCCTTCAGAGAGAGTTAGGGCTTTGTTCTGGATTAGGCTTTGGTTTAAGGGAATGTTGTAGCTGGTTTGATCTTCTATCCAGACCATTCAAACTTCCTCCCTATCAGTAATAAGGCTGTTTTGGTTTTTCTTATTATTCATGTGTTCACTGGAGTAGTACTTTTAATTTCCTTTAATAATTTTTTCTTTGTATTCACAACTTGGCTGTTTGACAAAAGAGGCTTAAGCTTTCAGCCTATCTTGGCTTTCAACATGCCTTCCTTACAGGCTTAATCATGCATTTCCAGCTTTTGATTTAAAGTGAGAGACATACAACCCTCCGACGCTTTTGGTAGGACACCGGAAATAAAAATCAAAGACAAGCCCAAGGGATTCCCGACAAGGAACCACCCGCCCGCGGCATTCCTACACGTCTTCCTGCTCCGCCCTTCGCAGGAAGCGCAGAGAGCAGCCCCCGGAGTGGAGGGGCGGGACTTCCGGTCTTCCCTGCAGTGGAGTGGTGAAGCGGGTCCTGCCGGTGCTGGTTTTGAAAGGCTGCTGTGCTGTTTGCGTTTTCTCTTAATAGTTAAGTTGCTGCTGTCTCCGCTTTCCTTTTACCTGGCGGGGATCTTGGTCAAAACACTCCCTGCGACCTTATTCCTCTAGGGTTGTGATTTTTTTCTTTCATCAAGAAATATCACTTGTTGGTAATTTGTCAAACTCAAGAAACCCCTGGAGAAGCAGTCGTTGGCAGGCGCGGAGGCTGGGCTTCCAGAGCATTTTGGCAAATCAAAGCCAGGGACCGTTGCTGGGCCTCATTTCCGCAACTTTTCGGCTCGGAACTGCTGTGAGTGGAAGACTTTGGGTGGTTGTTTTGATAAGATTCCTTCTGTAACTAGAGACTATAACATTTTGAAAGAAATGAGATTCTCATTCATGTCAAGAACAGACTTGCGGATTTTTGAGTGTTAAACATACCCTGAGGTAATGTGGTGGGTGGTGAGAACGCAAGCGGGAACGAGACAGTAGAGATGAGAATGGCAGTGTGGGTAGGAGCTGGGTTATACTTTCTTAAGGTATGCCAAGAAGCTTAGTCATTACACTTTTTTCTTGTGTATGCTTGATTCAACTTAGAAAACCGCCTCAATAAAGCTGTTAAAAAAAGAAAAGAAACGAAAAAAAGATTTGGCCAAAAATAGACTTTCTTTTTCCCAAATTGGAATCAGAAAATGTCTTCCACCTATGTATCAACACCCGTTTTTTCCCCTAAAATACCAAGTAGACATATCGGATATATACGTGTTTATATATATCTGTAATCTATATTGCCATTTGATAAGTACGTAAACAAGTGATGTAAAGCAGTTGGTATGGTCTGACTTGTGGAAAGTTACCTTTGACATCAATACTGGAGATGGACTGGAGAGAGAAGAAATTTCAGACAGTTGCAGGAGTTGAAGGGAGAGTCTATGGCCTGAAAAAGAAAAAGGTAGAGAAAGCCAGGTTCCAAAGACAGAAAATCAACAGGACTTGTTTACAGGGGCGTGGAGTGGAAAGTCAAGTTTTAGAATATTGGCTACTAGCAATGAGACAGCATTAATTCAAATTGCAAATTCAGGAGGAGCAATTTACTTACTTTTCGTCGTTCAAATATTTATTGTGCCGTTACTATTTGCCTAATACTTTTTTTTTTTTTTAAACGGAGTCTCGCTCTGTCGCCCAGGCTGGAGTGCAGTGGCGCCATCTTGACTCACTGCAAGCTCCGCCTCCCGGGTTCGCGCCATTCTCCTGCCTCAGCCTCCCGAGTAGCTGGGACTACAGGCGCCCGCCACCATGCCCGGCTAATTTTTGTATACTTAGTAGAGACGGGGTTTCACCATGTTAACCCAGATGGTCTGGATCTCCTGACCTCGTGATCCACCCGCCTTGACCTCCCAAAGTGCTGGGATTACAGGCGTGAGCCACCGCGCCCGGCGCTTTGCCTAATACTATTTTAGATGCCAGAGATACTGTTGCATATAAGACAGATAAGGTGCCTGCTTCAGTTGAGTTTATATCCTAGTGGGAGAAAACAAAAAGCAAGTAAATAAATAATCAATTTTGATGATAGATTCTGTGAAGAAAAAACTTGAAGAGGGATGACAAATGATTGGGAGATGTTTGGGAGTAACTTTAACTTAGTTGGTTGTTAGGCGCTTGTAGGAGTTACATTTGTGCTGAAACCTTGATGATGATAAAGAACCAGTCTTGTGATGAGCCAAGGAAAAGACAAGGCAGGCAGAAAGAACGGTGCAAAGATTCTAAGATGGGAAAGAGATTGTTTAAAGAACATTAAAAATGCCAATGTATCTAAAGTGCCCTGTAGAAGTAGGAGGGAGTTGAGAAATGACATTTGGAGAGGTAGATAGGACCAGATTGTGTGACCTTTGTAGGCCATAGTTTTAGGAGTTTGCATTTTATTCTAAGTGGAAATGGAAGGTATTGGTGGGCTTTAAGCCACAAAGTGATAGATGTGATTTTCATTTTAAAAGATCCCTCTGGGTACTACTGTATGCAGACTGGATTTGAGGGAAGAGATGAGAGTGAAAGTGCAATTAGGGGATATTACAGAAGCCTGCTTTTGGTAGGAGTGATTAAGTTCCATTTTAGTTACGTTGAGTTTGATTTATCTATGGGACGGGGACATAGAGAGCAGTCTAGCAGGCAGCCACCTGAAAGCTCTGAGAAGTCGGGTACATTTAGAAGTTCTCTAGAGAAAGAAAATAATTAAAAGTTGTGTGAATCTCCTCAGGAGAGACCATGTGGTTAAATAATTACTTATATCCTGTCATATCCTCAGAAGATTACAGATGATATCACCTACAGCTGATTACATACATTAAAGGGGTAAGGTTAAAAAAAGACAAGGTGGGCCGGGTGCGGTGACTCACGTCTGTAATCCCAGCACTTTGGGAGGCCAAGACAGGCGGATCACGAGGTCTGGAGTTCGAGACCATTCTGGCTAACATGTTGAAAACCTGTCTCTACTAAAAGTACAAAAAATGAGCCAAGCGTGGTGGCATGTGCCTATAGTCCCAGCTACTCAGGAGGCTGAGGCAGGAGAATCACTTGAACCCGGAAGGCGGAGGTTGCAGTGAGCGCAGATCGCACCCCTGTACTCCAGCCTGGCAACAGAGTGAGACTCCATCTCAAAAAAAAAAAAAAGACAAGGTGAGGCATAAAAATGACAGGAGTGTTAAGAAGAGATGAAATGTGGACTAAGGTCAGGTCTTGAAGAATCCTTGATTTAAGGAAATAGTGAAGAAGAATGATAAAAACAGGTAGAAGTGAAGAAGAAAACTGTGGCAGCCCAATGTTGGGGGGAAAAGAGTTTGGCGCAAGGGAACGTAGACAATGCTGTTACACGCTGATGAGGTTTAGTAGGATGAAGACTAAAGTCATTGGGTGTAAGAAGACATTGGTGACCATTGCAAAACAATGTCAGTAAAGAGATAGAGGTGAAAGCTGGATTGCAGTGGATTGAAGATAGATAGGAGAGAAGGATGGTAGTGAGTGAATACTACACTTGAGCTGTTTATAAGTAGGAAATATGGATAAAGTGGTGGAAGTGTTTTCTATAGAAAGTTATTTTTTTTCTGGCAGGTAAAACTTGGGATTACCTGGGTAGTAGAAGGGGTAATGTAGAAGGGGATGGGGTTAGTGTTAGAAAGGAATAAAAACATTTCATAAGATTGATTGAGTGCCTGCAAGGCAGCATCCACAGTGCTAGTTACTGTCATATTTGTTTTCTCATTTAATCCACACAACAGTCCTGTTACTACTCCCATTTTACAAATGAGGAACAACCTGAGACTTATAGCTAGCTAGTAAATGGTAAGATGTGAATGAAACCCAACTCTTTCATCCCCTTCTTTCACTGCTATATGGAGAGCATAGGTGAAGACAGAGTATTTTAGAGGTAGAGAAGAGGACATTGAATGCAGCTAAATAAGGACAAATCCAAGACAATAGGAGATTAAGTTGCTTGTTAGTAATAAAGAGCTATTTCTTTAATGCTAGGGTAGAGACAGGTTTCCAGGTATTTGGATTTCTTCTTCAGGGTCCTTTTCCCATAGGCCTAATAGTTACCTTCTGCCCGTCTTTTGAATTTGTATTACAAACAATTTGCTGCATTCTTACAGCAAAAATGGAATTTGCTTATTATTTGAAATTTGAAATGAGATAATGAGCATATAATTTATAGAAATTAAATTTCTTTAGGCCGGGCGCAGTGGCTCATGTCTGTAATCCCAGCACTTTGGGAGGCTGAGGCAGGCAGATCACAAGGTCAGGAGTTCCAGACCAGCCTGACCAATATGGTGAAACCCCGTCTCTACTAAATTACAAAAATTAGCCAGGCATGGTGGCATATACCTGTAATCCCAGCTACTCAGGAGGCTGAGGCAGGAGAATCGCTTGAACCCGAGAGGTGGAGGTTGCAGTGAGCCAAGATCACGCCACTGCACTCTACCCTGAGCGACAAAGCGAGACTCCATCTCAAAAAAAAAAAAAAAAATTAAATTTCTTCTTGGTTATGTTCCTGCATTGGAGTAAACTTCTAGAAATTATAAGCTTCTAAATGGTAAGCATATAATTTACAAAATTTAAATTTCAGTAGAAGTGAAGCTATTAAAATTATAAAGACAGTTATCGCTTTATCTCTCCTTGGTTATGTTCCTCCATTGGAGTAAACTTCTAGGGGTTAATTAAGGCATTTTGTTAAGGATGTTCATTTCAGATCTATCAAGTGTAGTTAGTATTTTTCTAACAAAAGTAAATGCAATGGCAATGTCATCTTCTTAGAAAATGCACCGATTTATTTTGATAAAACTTTTGTACATTAAGAGAACTATTTGTGCTATTGTGTTTCCTATTTCATTCAGTCTTTGACTTAGAAGGACATCTTATTCTGCCATAGTAATGGCAGCCGAACTGCGAATGGTACTTTATGAAGATGATTCAGTACAAGTACAATATGTTGATGGTTCCACGTTGCAACTTTCTCCCTGTGGCTCTGAATTTTTATTTGAAAAGTCACCTCCTGTTTCAGCACATCCTTTAGAACAACCAGAAAGAATTCGTCAAAGGACACATTTTGTCATTAGCACTTACAGAGTAAGTAAAGATACTGCATAAAAACTTTTTTGTTTTTACAGACAGGTTTTTGCTCTGTCACCAGGCTAGAGTGCAGTGACACTACCATAGCTCACTGCAGCCTCAAACACCTAGGCTCAAGTGATTCTCCTGCCTAAACCTCCTTTTACAAGCAAGTTACTCTAGGACTACAGGCATGCACTATCACACCTGGCTAATTTTTAAATTTTTTGTAGAGCATTGTCTAGCTATGTTGCACAAGCTGGTCTCACACTCCTGGCCTCAAGTAATCCTCCCATCTCGGCCTCCCAATGTGCCAGGATTACAGGTGTGAACCACCATGCCTGGCCAGAACTACTCTTTGAATACCAAAATACTGTTGACGTGGCTAGAATATGAAAAGTAATTAGTATCATAGATTATACTGTACTGTCATTTTTAATTGATTTTCAAATCATTTTACATTAAGGTTACATTTTATATTTCTTTTCATAGGAGCAACTACAGCGAGCCCTAGATTTTCGAAACTCTTCAGCTACTTACCCTTTTTTATCTGAAACCATCATACCTTCTGAAAGAAAAAAGGTGATTTTTTTAACTTCATTTTTGTTAGTATTATTTGAGGACAAGTAACTAGAAACAGGTAATTTAATGTTTAGCCTTTTTTTCTTTTTCAGGACACTTGGGGATACATTTTTATAAAACATTGAAGTTACATAGTTTATCCCCTTGCCATTTTATTTGTATCCAAGGATTATAATCAGAATCTTTTAGATTAGTGACTTTTTCATTCTCAGAGGTCTCAAAATTAAGAAATTATGTGACCATTTTCAGTAACAGTGTGGTATTTGTTAATGTATGGTAGAGATCTGTAACTATGGGTATGACCTTTATTATTTTGCTTATATAGTATTTTATTTGGATTTTTAGGAATAATAATAACAACTGTAATTTACTGAGGGTTTACTATGTCCATTAATAATGAATAATACTGGAAATATTTAATAACACCATACTGATCAAAATGGATGTCCATCCAATCAAAACAGGTATATTGCCTAGATGGCAGCTTTTTTTTATAGACAAGGAAATTATGTCTCAGAGAGTTTACCTAATTTGTCTATGGCAGTTTTCTAAGTGGCAAAGTCAGGATTTGAACCTAGTCTATCTGACTCTGTAAACTCTGTTTCTCAACTACTTTCTGCTGTCTTTCTATGCTGTCAAGATGCTGGCCTCCCGACTGAGTCATTTTATATTGTCTTGTGGCAAAGGAGCCATAAAAAATTATAAGTTGTAACTTAGTCTAGAAGGGTAATTTTCCATTGTGTCTTTTGAGTCACTTTATTCACTGAAACTGCCTAGCTTGTTGCTGATGCTGCAGCAGGATTATTAGATAGTCTAATTCTAAAAGAGGACTTTGATGACTGGATCCTTACAAACCAGCTTTGCTGCCAATAAATACAGCAATTTTAGTGTCCTAACATTGTACACATAGATAGCATGGTAAATTTAGGAAACTTTCTTGACAATAGTTTGTGTAAATGTAAGGTTTTACATAAATGGAATTGAAATGCTAAATGCTTGGCAAAATTAATTCAGTAAAAAACTCTCATGCAGTATCTACTGTTTATATCTTATATGAAAAGACACAACCAACATTGTTACTTGTTATGAGTCTGTTATTAGTCAGGATCAATTCTTCTTTGAGTAATTAAACTTTTTTAAAGTTTCCTCTAAGCCTTCTGAAATTTATTTTAGTGTATGGTGTGCCAGGTACTACCAAAGATGGGTACTTTATAAATGTTGCCTTATTTAGTCCATGCGATAACCCTGCAAGACAGAATTCCCCAAATGCTGTTCAGTAATTCCAGTACTAGTTTAAATAATTTTCTCTTTTCCCTCTTGCTCTGAAAAACTTATGTTATTGCATATAACATTTTAAGATATGATTGAGTTTGTTTTTGAATTTTCTGAGTTGTTCTGTCAATAATTTTTATGCTAGTCCCATACCATTTAAGCTATGGTTGCTTTTTTTTAATTTCTTTTATTTAAAACTTAAACATTTTTAGCTAACATTGCTTTTAAATATAATATATCATAGTGCTGGTCTTCCCTTATTTCTAGTTTTTTTCAGAGTAAACTTTTGCAGGGTGAGGGGAGGGGTACAAATCTGTTTATCTCTAGTTCATTGTACATTTAAAACCAAAATACATTTAACACTAAATATGATCATTTCTCTCATTTTGTGTCTGTGTGTTTTACATCTCTTTTTTTTAAGGGAGATAATCTTAACAATATCAAATATTCTCTGGAAAATCATATATAGGCTGAGATCTGGCCCTCCATTTTTTCATTCTCTCTAGATAGTAAAAGACAAATATTTAAGAGCTTTCTTACACAATACTTAAATATCAAATGTATGGAAAAATTGGACTGTTAACAGAAAATACTCACCATCTCTTTTTCCCCCCTCATTTCAGCATATCTTCATTGACATCACAGAAGTGAGATGGCCCAGTCTTGGTACAGACGGTACCATGATATGTATGGAGAGTGGCATTGTGAAGATAACGTCTTTAGATGGTCATGCATACCTGTGCCTGCCCAGATCTCAGCATGAATTTACAGTACATTTTTTGTGTAAAGTTAGCCAGAAGTCAGACTCATCTGCAGGGTTGTCAGAAACAAATAATAAAGCCCCAAAAGATAAACTAGAAAAAGCTGGCAAAATCTGTATACATGGAAATTTATCAGGACAGAGACTGAAGAATAAAGAAAATGAGCTTCATTGCCAGATCATGAAATCCAAAGAAACTTTAAAGAAGATGAATTGTGTAAATGGAACTGAAGGGAGGGAAGAGCTGCCTTTGCCTGGTACAAAGCACACATGTGTATACACATGGGTCAAGCAGTGCTGGTCTGTGGCTGCCTGTCCAGAGGAATGGAAATATCCTTTGTCTTTAGCACTTCATTTTCATAAGAAAATCAACAATATGTCTAAAATGGATGCACATATAACTCAGAGTAGATGTTTAACTTCTGATATTTCAGAGGAAAGAGGAAAAGTGGTTTCTGTTCTTCCCAGGGCCCTGCCACTCAGCTGTCCAGTTCCACACCTGCACAGGTAATGCAATAATGGCTATTAGTCATGAAGCTTTTATCAGAACCAGTCTTTACCTGGATAATTTTATCTGATACCATTCATAAGGAAAGTTTATCTCATCCAAAATTTTGCTTTTAACTGATAGTAAATAATTTCCCTAGCAAATGTGTTGCTTATGTTTCTTACTCTGTGTCCATGCATTGAGTGTAGAAGGCTGACTCTACATTAGATACTATGCTAAGTCCATGACTGCAGAGATGACTAAGACACAGTCCCTGCTTTATAGCAACTTAAAATCTAGTGGAGGTCACTGTACCTAAAAAGATTATTAAAGTATGCTAAATGATGGGACAGGAGTCCGCACAGGGCTCTGTGGGCCCAGGGGAGCACCTGCTGCTGCTCACTGGAGCCCGTGACCTTGCTTGCTGGAGTGTGGATCTGACACAGTTCTTTTGTCCATACCTAGCTTCAGACGCTACCCCTCTCTTTGGTTCACTGACTATAAATATGTTATTTTCAAAATGGGTACACATGGAGCAGCTTCTGTAAGGCTAAGTATAAAACTTTTACCTCCACTAAGGATTGTAGATTTGTAACATCAACTTTGCATAAATAGTGCAGTAATAATGATAATAACTAACACTTCCAAAACACTTATGTGCCAGGTACTGTTGGACTTTACCCGTTTGATTCTCAAAGCAACCCCGTGAAGTTAAAAGACGTATCATCCCTATATGTAGAGGAACTTGAGACACAGAAATGTTAAATAACTTGAGGAAAGGTACACAGCTAGTACTTGTAAAATTGAGATTTGATCCCAGGCAATATCTGAGTATACATTTGTTATTTAAAACAAAAATATGGGAATGACTGTTAGGCTTGTCATGATTATCTGGTTAAAATGAGAAAAGTATTATGAGTACACATCAAAAGGGAATTATGCTTCAAAAGTAATGATTTTTCAATAACTTATCACTATGTTTAGGTTGAAATCTATGATCCTTCACATAGCTTACCAGGTCTTTTGTGATCTGGTCCCTTCCTATATCTGTAATCCTCAACTCTTTCACTACTCTTGCCCTTGCTTTCTCTATTCTTGCTAAGCTGGACTTCAGCAATCCCTAAAATGCTTGCTCAAGCACTCTCTGACCACTGCACCTACTCTTTACTCTGCAGGAGCACTCTCCCTTTCTCTCTCTCAACTGTCTAACTTGTGCTCATTTCCAGGTTTCAGCTAAAACCTAACTTCTTTAGAGTGGTTTTCCTGAAGACCCTAAACAAGTTAAGTCTTATATAATTCCATAGCATACAGTACTTGCCTTTTCTTTATACTCAATGTTTATTATTTAACGTCCCTGCTGAGGGCAGGGACCATGTCTCCTTTTTTTGGTTGTTATATCCACAGTGTGTATAGCACAGTGCTTGGCCCACCATAGATATTTTAGTAATTTTTTTTATTTATTTTTTGAGATGGAGTCTCACTCTGTCGCCCAGGCTGGCACGATATTGGCTCACTGCAACCTCCACCTCCCAGGTTCAAGCGATTCTTCTGCCCCAGCCTCTTGAGTAGCTGGGATTACAGGCGCATGCTACCACGCCTCACTAATTTTTGTATTTTTAGTGGAGACGGGGTTTCACCATGTTGGTCAGGCTGATCTCGAACTCCTAACCTCGTGATCTGCCCGCCTCGGCCTCCCAAAGTGCTGGGGTTACAGGCATGAGCCACCATGCCTAGGGAATCCAGGCTAAATTGTAAATGTTAGTTAAAGTGTTAATTTATGTAATTGTGCTGAGATTCAATAATAAGATTATTGAAAATACTGAAAAAACATGGAAAAAGAAGACTTGCTTTTACATTTCATTAATATACCTTCATATTAATTTTTATTCTTTGATATAGCGAGTTAAACAAGAAATTAATCCTGTTACAGTAGCACCATTTTCTTGACTTCTAAAGGCAATTATATTGAGCAACCAGAAGTAATAGCTTGTATTTTATCCTTCACAGGTGGAATTTTTGGGATTCACTTTTACAGAGACAATCCAATGAATATTCCTATCCTGAACAAGTAAAAATGGTTTGGTACAAAGGTGTTACATATAGGTAAGGCACCGATGTTGGCTCCTGTGTTGGAGTTAGAGCTGTTTATTGATGTCAGAGAGAAGATTGGACTCGCCTTATAGATAGACTCTCAGAAGAGGACACAGTTCTGCTGGGCCAACTGTGCTCCTATGTTTGATCCTGAGTTTTACAGGTCTCAAAACTAATGTTATTAGTGCACATGAGGGTCTTGTGACTCACTCACGTTAACCATTTTTATAAGACTTATGTGGTACCTCCAAAGCCAATGAGGGATCGGTTTGCTAGTGAATGTAACATTCATATCAGTTATTTAGGATACCCCTTCCAAGCACTGGAGGATCAAGTTGTTTGAAATAGTCAAAACAGAATTGCTTGAGCATGGAATTAGAGAAGGTAGATCACCTAAGGGAGATTTTTAGCCTTCATTCACAAAGCAAATGCTCATTGAGTGGCCACTCTGTGCCAGCACTGTTCCACTGAATTATCTCTACCCCACAACAAAGGACACCCTTCTAGTGACTAGAATACTAGTGTTAGCCAGATTGAGAGTTTCACTTCCATGAATAATGCTAGAAGAGCACTGCTAAATTTTTGGAGAGAGAGGGGGCTCTCCTTTTCTATGTGAAGACCTAGACCTATTCCTTCCAACAACATATTCTAACATATATGTTAATAAAATTAACTTGGATTAAGTTTCTATATGTTATATACCCAGTACCTTGATTTTACCTGGCTGCTCCAGGTATAGCCACCTTTTCTTAGGGATAGCCCCTTATACAGATGGCTAATCTTATCCATAAAGTATTGATTCCACTAGTTTCATTAATCTATTTATTTTCAGGCTCTGGAAAGGTTGTATTTAACTCCTATGCAATAGACTTTGCTTTGGTGACCCTTATATGCCAGCCTTGTGATTAGCAGTGGGGATATCAAGAAGATGATAAGACAAAATGCCTGAATTCTAGAAGCTCTTAGTTTAGTTATTGAAACAAATGCATAAACCAATTCTATTTATCTTTCTGTGAAAAAGTTAACTTAGCTGGTTGGGTTCAGAATATGAAATTATCTGCTTCATTGGACAGGGAAAAAGACTGTGCTTCTTTGCTTAGATTTTGTTGTTTCTGTTTTTTGATGGCTATCTTCATGCATGTTTTAATCTCAAGTGGAAAAAAATTTTAATGGTTATTTCTGTTTCTTAGACTTACCCATCAAAATATGAACTCAATAGAGATTTATCCTGGAGATGGATCTGTTTTCAAATCAGAAGGGGCTTATTTTGGGAAATATTTTACATATTATTCCATTCAAGAAGGATCAGAAGAGGTAAGCCAACAAGGAACTCAACTCAAGAAGAGTTTTGCTGTATAGCTCTTTCTAAATAATTCCAAATATGTATGGGAAATTTGGTCATTATATAACATTGCTTCCTACTCCCCAGTCAATATAATCTTACTGCAAGCATTGGTACAGTAATTATTAACCACCTTATTTTTACTGTACTACTTTGAATTAATATTTGTACATTAAAAAGCAAAAGCACATTCTTTTTCCCCACCATGTAATTGTGTATTTTAAGCACCTCTTAACTTCTAAATCTTCATGTACAACTAGACAGTTGAACAAGATTGTTCTCTGTTGCTGAAAACAGTGAAACATAATATGATATAATTACCAGATCATAGTCTTAATAATGTCAGTATTTTGTTAATGAGTTTTAATTTACTTATTGCCACTTAGATATTTGACATCCACCCTTGCATAGCAATCACTATAGTATCACACTACTTTGCATGCTAGAACAAAATAAGTGTTTTCTGTCTTCATTACAGAGTGGAGTATTTAAATACTAATCAGATTATTAGAATCCCTAGGGAGTAGAGTTAAAAATTGAGACTTTTTTAAACTATGGAAATTTCAAACATATATAAAAGTAGACAAATATAATGGACCTCTATGTACCCATGACCCATCTTGTTCATTTATACTTCCTGCTGCTCCCTCCACTCCCTGTTTATTTTTAAGTAAATCCCAACCAAATATTGTTTTATTCATAAATACTTTAGTATATATTGGAACAGATTCCTAACTCTAGGGGGCCTATCTCTAGGAAAGTATTTAGTAAATAAATATTAATTGAACAGTAACTCTTTGGCAGGCACTCCAGTAAGCATTGACAAAGATGAAGATGAAGAAGAGTTCCTGCCCTCAAGAGTTCACAGTCTTATGTTCAGTTAGAGAAGCAAACAAGCAAATGAGATACAAGTGTGCCCAGTAACATGTATACATATATATGTGTATATGTGTGTGTATATAGTACATCAGACAATCAAGTGAGCAAGCAAACAGAGTAGGTATGCATAGTCACATTGCTGACTGCTGTGTATCAAGGGGTTTGCAAAATTGCAAGATAAGAGGAGTGTATCTTCCTGGAGCTTCAATTCTACTCAAAGCTGTTGCGAGAGGGGGTGATAATTTTTATACTGAAGCAAATATATCGAGTAGAAGCGTGAGCTTTTGGGTTAAAATGCGTTTGTGGTGGACTGCCTTGGGCTTCACTCTCCAACCTCTGTGTGCAACACATTCACCCTTCTCTGTCTGCTTTAGTGCAAAGATTTAGAAACAATTGACCCTCTTTTGGGGATAAAGTTGTTTGCTCCTTACTTTAACCCAGACTCCAAAATAAATTTCAGATGAATTAAAGAGCTAAATGTAAGAAACCAAACTTTGTAAGTGTTAGAAGAAAATATAGAAGAACAATGTTTAAAATCTCTGGGTAAAGGAGATTCTTCTTAAGTAGAATACAGAAAACCAGAAGGCGTAAAAGAAAAGTTTGACAAGCTTGAAATCTTCAAACTTATGTTAAATTATAAATATTTAGGCCAGACACAATGGCTTATGCCTGTAATCACAGCATTTTGAGAGAACAAGGTTGGTGGATCACATGAGGCCAGAAGTTCGAGACAAGCCCAGCCAACATGGCAAAACTTCGTCTCTACTAAGAATACAAAAATTAGCTGGGCATGGTGGTGCATGTGTGTAATCCCAGCTACTTGTGAAAGTGAGGCATGAGAATCGCTTGAACCTGGGAAGCGGAGGTTGCAGTGAGCCAGGATCACACCACCGCACTCCAGCCTAGGAGACAGAGCAAGACTCTGTCTCAAAAAATTTTTTTTAATTAAAAAAAAAATTTAGAATTTCTGTTAAAAAGATAAGCAAAGGCCTGGAAGATATTCCACACTAAATCAGTAATAGACCAAAAAAACCCAAAATATCCTAATAGAAAAATGGGCAAAGGGTAAAAATGGATTTAGCCGTAGAAAAGATAATGTAAATTAAAAAGTCATAATATTTGAAAACATATTCAACTTTACTACTTGCATCAGGGAGATGCAAAAAATCAATGACATACATTTTTCCCTTACCAAATTGTCAATAACTAAAAAGACTGATGGCATCTTCTGCTGGGAAGGGTGTGGGAAAAGGGGTGCTTTCATAGTGTTGGTTGGAGTGTTAATTGGTTCAGCTTTCTTAAAGGACAATTTGATAACATCAAATGAAACTGATGAGAAATTCTGCTTCTCAGTATCTAGCCTAGAAAAATATTTGCACATGTGTTCAAAGAAGCATGGCAAAGGGTGTGTACTGTGGCATTATTTGTAGCAACAAAAAATCAGAAGCAACCTAAATAAATGTTCATTAATAGGGAAATGGTGAAGTGTTATTATCAAATTATGGGAATGGTGTGTAGTAGTTGAAAAGAATGAGGTAGATGTTGATGCATAGAGTAATAGATTCTGGAAGATCTCAAAGATATTGTTGAGTGAATAAAGAAACTTGCGTTAGAAAACGTACAATGATATCTTTTGTGTAAAGAACAAAAAATAAACCCCATACCTGTATAGTACTTTCTGTAATACACATGCACAAGCACAAGAAAGGATCCTGGGCAAATACACACTGAAGTAGCTACCTTTGGGAAGGATTGTGGGATTTTGTGAGGGAGGAGAAGTCTGAGAGGACTCAATTTTCATACTTTTTGAACTTTTTTTTTAACAAAAATGTAATTTATTATTTATTGTGTAATTAAAAATTGAAATAGGAAAGATTGACAAGTACTCACAGTGTAAGTACTTCCATAGAGACAAGAACTTGGTGCTTTGGGACCACATAAGAAAGGGCACCTGACCCAGTGTTTGAGGCTCCAGAAACAACTCCTGAAGGAAGACTTGGCTAAGCTAGGATCTATAATTCCAAAGGAGGAGTTGTACAAAAGACAGATGGAGGTAGGAGGAGCATATAGCTAAGGGAACAATTTACTTTCTCAACTCTTTGCATGGCTGGCTTCTTGTCACTCAGATTTCTATCTAAATGTCATCTCCTCACAGAGGCTTTTCCTGACTATTCAAATTAAAGAAGCTACCCAAGACACTCCCTATCATGACATCCTCATCTTTTTTCTTCAAAGCCCTGAATATTGGGTGACATTTTCTTAATGATGTATGTTCATTGTCGGCCACACTAGAGTTAAGCCCTGTCTTATTCAACACATTATTATTGCTGGTTCTTAGAACAGTTTATAAATGGCACCGAACTGGACAAAAGAGCCTGGGGCAAGTGTGGAGTGTTGAAGGAAGTGAAAATGTTGTAGTTTGGTAGGCCAACACATAGATGGGATGCTAGGGGAAATGTCCACAGAAGAAGCCAGATTACTAAGATAGCCAGCTCATAACTGGAGCATAAGAAACCTCACTGCATTTGGGGAACCACTGAAGGATTTCAAGTAGGGAAGTGACATCAGATTTTTGTTAGATTATTTCAGAGGAAGATGAACTGGGTGGGAAAGAGGTAAAACTTGAAGCTGTAGAACCAGTCAGAAGACATGTATAATAGTTCAAGTGAAAGCAAGGCAGTGGTAGGGAAAATGGAAAGAAATATTAAGGAGACAGAACTGATTGCTGACTGGACACTGAGGATGAGGAAGGAGTTGAAAGCGATGCCAAATTATTAATAAACCAGTGAATGGTGGTGCAATTTTTGGTGTGAAACCAAAATTTTTATCAAATCTAAATTTTTTTGATGATGGCTTTTTTTTCTTTTGAGCCTGCCATGAGATGTCAGGTAAAGAAGGATTTGAGATTATTAAAATTCAACTATGTCTCAACCCCACCTGCCTAATAGATTATAAGACACTCTTAATTGTAAGATGGATCCAGATTTCAGAGAGGTTAAATTGTGAAAAATAAACATTTTAGAGTTGATGAAATAGATGGAAATAAGAACCCAGAGGGAACTCAATATCCAGTAGAGAAAGACATAAATAATTAAAATGTGGTATTCTGAGTGCCTCCCATGTGCTAAGCACTCTGCTAATAAATGACGATAATACAGACATGAGCAAAACAGACACAGCCCCTTCCTTCATGGAGCTGTATTCTAACAGAGAAAACAGACATTAAGTAAAAAACTATTAAACTGAAGTTGTAATTAAGACCAAGAGGCAGGATTAGAGGGAACTGTGCTTGTGGACATAACTAGGGGATTTCTTCTAGTCTATGGGACCTCTGCAATGGCTTCCCTGAGACGGAAGGAAAAACAGGTGTTAGCCAGGCAAACGGAGGCGAGGGAGGAGGGAACTGAGTTCTAGGTAGAGGGAACAACGTGATAAATGACATACCAAAGGTAAATACAGTATAGAGAAAGTGAAAGTGCAAATTTTGAAATAACACTAATTCTAGTTTTAACATAGTGATGTTGAGATGTCTGTTTTGATAGCCAAAAGAGAAGCCCAATAGAGATTTAGATAGATAAAAGGACAGAGACTTTTGTTTGGAACATATTATATGCTAAATTCTGTCCCAGGAACTTTATATGTATATTATATCATTAATCCTCAGATAAATCTGGATGGTAGGCAGTATCCCCATTTCACAGGCTGGAGGCACTGAGGCTTATAAAAGGTTGTATAGCCTGCCCATCATTATAGTTGGTAAAAGGCAAACCTGTGATTTGAATCCACATTTGTCTGACTTTGAAGCCCATCTTCTTCCCCTAATGGTAAAGAGTATGAGCTGCACTCTTTGGTGGTTTAAATCAGATCTCTACTGTTTCTTAGCCTTCAGTCTCAGTTTTCTCATCTGAAACAAGCATTAATAGTTATCTCAGAATTATTTTAAGAAACAAAGGAGATAATCCATGTAAAGTGAGTAGGATAGTGCCTAGCACATAGCATCTGCTCCACAAATGTTAGCTGTTGCTATTATGATATTTTATGTGAACACAGCTTTGGACCCTTTTAGGATTATCTAAAAAGAAATCAACAAGTTGAAAGAGAAGGCTGGAGACGGAGTCCTGGAAAACACTAGCAAGTCTGAGGAAGAGGAAATTCAGAAAGAATTTTAAAATAACAATTTTTTTTCTAATTTCAATAACCTCAGCCTGTAAATAATTTTTTCTTCCATAAACTATAGCAATAGTTCTTCCATTAATGTAGCAAAATGGTATATTCATTAAATTAAAGTAGTTTTTTTTTAATCTATATAGCCATTTCTTTTTGTCTTAAGGGAAAGGAGTGGCTCATGATAAATTTCCTGCTAATGTGTAGGAAAATTAGTTTGGTTACCATATTAATGTAAATATAAACTAATATTTAAATTGCATAATAAGTTATAAGTTGCTAGAATTTAATTTTTGGGCTAGGCATAGTGGCTCATGCCTGTAATCTCAGCACTTTGGGATCCCTTGAGCTCAAGAGTTTGAGACTCATCTGGATAATATAGAAAGACCTCACGTCTACAAAAAACTTAAAAAATTAGCCCAGCATGGTGGCATGTGCCTGTGGTCCCAGCTACTCGGGAGGCTGAGGTGGGAAGGCTTCTTGAGCCACAGAGGCTACAGTGAGCTGTAATCGCACCATGGTACTCCAGCCTGGGCAACAGAGTAAGACCCTGTCTCAAAAATAAATAAAATAAAATAATAACTTTCAAATGAATAGGAGCAATTCTATATTTTTAAAAAATGGGAAAATGAAAAAGCATCATAAAATACCATGGTTTTATGGGCTTCAGTTTGTTAAAATAACTACTCATCACTATTGTAAAAACATATTTCAAGGAAAAACAGCTAAGTAATAAAGGCAAAAATTTATTATTAATGAAATTTTTCATTTTAACTAATTTTCAGAGAGAAGAGAAAACTTACTCAGTAAATAACCTTCCTCCAGATAGACCAGGAAGTCCATTCTCTGTTGGTTCTCTAATTAAACAGGCAACAAGGTAAGTTCTTCCCATTCAATTGAATCAAATGTTATGTGTCTAAATATCTTGGCACATTTTCTTGTGATTAAGGATGAGATTAAGAATTGGCAGGTACAATGGAAATATATGCCTTCGGTAAAATTTGTCAACTTTTTTGGTGTCATAACTTATAAAATAAGATAATTTTTATGTCATTTATTAAGAGTACTTCCGGCTTTGTAATTTAAATACGGAGAAATATCCATATATAGTGAGCAAGTGCTGAGAGGAAGTAAGTGCTCTTTCTCTGCATAAGTGTGGCATCATTATTGTTCCTTGAAATCAAGTTGGAGATTTGATGATATATTTAATATGTTTATACTTCTTTATTATCTTCAGAGTAATAGATTTCTGAGAGTATGATAAAGCATAGATTGGTTCTTTGGTTCATGTTTTTAAAATTCTCTCAATCTGTGACACCCAGAAGAATGCAAGTGGACTGTTGTATTGTTTCTTTTTATAAATTTATGTACGAGCAATTTCCAAAATAGATTTGAAGAAGCATATTCTATAATATGATTTCCTAGGGATAGTTGATTCACATCCCTACCATTTTTAGGCTATGTGAAACTTTCCAGGTGGTGTGAATCTATCACCTCTTAAAAAGGAGTTCCTGAAAATTCTGTCCATTAAATCATTTCATTGCTAAAAATTAGAGGAATAGCCTTAAGTAGGTAAGATTATCACAAAGGGAAGCAAAAGTAGTTCCCTTCTAGGGTCTTAAGGATTTCTTGAGAAAAAAGAGTTCCCAACACATTTCAGTGGAAATGATTTACGGATCATCTAAAATGTTGTATGGCAGTGAAAATGGGTTGCTAGAAATGGAAAATGTCATTTGCAAATGTTTAAGTAGTAGTTTTCGTGTTCACAGAATTCTTCAACACTGTGTGAAGATGAGACTTTCTTTAAGCCATAACTATCATATATGCTGCTGGAAAATGGTATGTTAAAATTATTTTAAAAGCAAGATATTTTTAAATTGTTTTATTGTTTGTGTCCATACTTCTGAGTTCAAACAGCTTTCCTCTAAGTTATGTGAGAAATTCTTTGTAACATTAATGTTGGTTTATTCAGAAAAATACCTACCTAGTAGACAAACACTGAAAGTTCAGGCTTTAATGTTACAGTTTTATTGTATATGGTTTGTTTTTGTTTTTCATGAAGAGGAAAGGATAGGAGAACTGACTGGATTTGAAGTATGTAAAAATCATTATAAACCATGATATTATAGTGTTCTATATTTTCATAACTGTAAAAATAAATTCCTTAATGCTGATTTGGAGGAAGTGATTCTCAGACTTTGATTTCTGTATATATATTTAATTACAAATCTATAAGCTCCTAATTTTTGTCTATATTGGATGTAAAGTTCAGAGCAGAACAGTGACTTTACAAAGATATTAGAACTGAATCTGCTTGAAAAAAATACTGTTTTTGGTATTCACTTTTGGAAAAGTTAAAATATAAGGATTTTATAATATTCGACTTCTGAATAAGTACCCGAAATTGCCTCAGAGTCATTAATATTCATTTAAATCTTGTTCTTAGATAACTCTATTTCCTGCTATTTTTATTTACTTGGTTTTAGGTACCTGGGATAAATGATAGCAATATACTGCCTTTGGTTTTGAAAGAGTCACTCATACCCAGCGTGGGAAGATTTCTTGCCTACTCTGATGACAAAGTACATGCTATCTTTTTAGATGGCATTACTCTAACCCTAAATTGGAATTTCAGCTCTCCTATTGAGAAGAGACAAGTGGGTATACTTCAGACTGAAATCTAGTTTTTACTGGTTATCTGTGGAAAAGAGAACAAAGAAAATAAAGTACCACACTATTTCAGTTCATTTTTTGAAGTATAAAATCTGTCAAGAAGCTTTACTGATCTCTTTGGATTTCCTAGCAAATATCAGAATGACTTGACAAATAGTCAGTTTTCTAAAGATAACTGATTATAGAGAAAGGGATTAGTATTTTCATTTGTTTTGATAATTACCTATATGAGTGGTGGTTAAATAACACCCATATCTCATGTAAACAACATTTAAATTACTGCATCTTTAATGATTCCTCTACTTATTTCTTTAAGTTAATGAAGTTAGAATAGGTTGGTTGTGTTTTTGTTTTCAGTTCTAAAATGATAAAACTTATCTTTCCACTTCTTAAGGTAAATCAAGGTCTTAACTTGGGTTGGTGTAAGTTAACTTTTCCTGATGGACAAGATCAGTTAATTCAAATTGAACACCCTGAACCATATGAAAGGTACTGAAAAGCAATTTTTAAAATTATTTTTACATTTTACTTTTAACTAACAGAGAAGAAGCAATAAACATTATTTAAATGTTATATATATTTTTAGTTTTTCCATGTGGATAATAATGAAGGCATTTCAGTCATTTCAGAGTTGAGAGTTGTACTTGTGTTTAGTGTAACTAAATAGATCAAGTCAGCTTTTCTTTTTTTTTTTTTTTTGAGACAGAGTTTTGCTCTTGTGGCCCGGGCTAGAGTACAATGGCACAATCTTGGCTCACCGCAACCTCCGCCTCCTGGGTTCAAGCGATTCTTCTGCCTCTGCCTCCTGAGTAGCTGGGATCACAGCTATGTGCCACCATGCCTGGCTAATTTTTGTATTTTTAGTAGAAATGGGGTTTCTCCATGTTGGTCAGGCTTGTCTTGAACTCCCGACCTCAGGTAATCTGCCCGCCTTGGCCTCCCAAAGTGCTGGGATTACAGGCATGAGCCACCATGCCCAGCTTTCAAGTCAGCTTTAATCATTTCATTTGTATTCAAGTAACTTTTCCAAATGAAATGTGTTGTAGACATACTGATTTGCTGTGGAGGTTAGATATGGTCAGCTGTGTTAACAATTAACTAATCCTCTAACCAATTTGAAATAAGGTTTGCAACCACAAATAACTAAAATTGTGTATATTTCTATAAAGTGGATAAAATTACCCAATGATTACTCTTAAAATGGGGAAGATTCTTCAGCTTTTTATGAATTTTTTTTTCTTTTGGTTTATCTGTTAGTTACAGTGTAATTCTACTTGTGATAGTCTTGACATTTTAGTGATTCTACTTGAGAATATTCACAAAAGAATTGTTTTTTATTACCTCTTGAATGTATTTTTCTGTTGGGTTTTATTGTGTTTCAGTCTAAGTGCTTATTCATTGCTATTAATGATTTGCTTCAAAAAAGATAGTTTCTTTAGCAAACATTTCTGTTGATTCAGCCAATCATTTCAGATCATTCATTTTATTAAACTTGATACTTGTTTTAGATACCTAGTAAGTTATATATAATTATACCTATGCGTACAAGCATATGTGTGTACGCATTAGCGGGCATTTTTTGGTTTAAATTTTAGTAAGCAAATGCTCAGTCATATCATGTGTCGACATTTTTTGATAAAACTTAAACACATTTTACTTTGAAAAACTAAAAGAATTAGAACATTTAAAATTGAACTTTAAATGAAATCCAAATATCACCTTTATTTTGATTCTTAAATGTCATTTTTATTAATCAAAAATATAAGTTAATCATTTTCTTCTTGATGAATAATGGAAAAAACTTGGCTTTTCTATGACCAGTGAAAAGTATTTTGTGAATTGCCCAGTAAATGCTTCACTTTAACATTTTTTCTTTATCCTTTTTTCCCAAATTGTCTTAATGATTTTACATTTGTTTATAACTTTATAATGTATTCAAGTTCATTTTTCAAGTATTCCTTTTAATGTATTCACTTTAGATATGTGACAACAGTAACATCATGGTGCAGGAGACTGTTCCAGACTAGTCCCAGGGAGATGCCCACTCATTCGTCATCTTCTGTTCTCCAAGAAAATTGGTATTTTTATTTTAAACTTAATCTGTTTAGAAGAGCCAATACTTTAAAAAAATTAAAGTGTCAAATGGTAAATTGAGACTTTTTTCAGACTAGTCCCAGAGAAATACCCACTCATTTGTCATCGTCTGTTCTCCAAGAAAATTGGTATTTTTCTTTTAAGCTGAATCTGTTTAGAAGACCTAATACTTTTAAAAAATTAAAATTGTCAAATGGTAAACTGGGAGTTTTTTCCCCAAAAAATTTTTCTTAGTTTTGAATATGTTTAACTCCTAAAGTATTTTTGATAGCCTAAGCTTGAAAATAATTTATTTCTAATCAGACTTCTAATTTATTACATTTCATCATATTCTATTTTACCCAAAGGTAAGAAAACCTTTCTTTGAAAACTTAACATGAAAATGAGTGGCTCTTTTTATGTGACAAATTCATCCTGAAAACTTCATGGAAAAGTTTAAAGGGGATTCTTAAATTTTTAGTAATGTTAAAGGAAATAAAAGGTTTAATAACATAAGCTTTCAGAAAAAAATTGATTTTTAAATAATTTCTGTCATATTAGTTACTTCCCCCAAATTAACTGGCCGATCAAATAAAGCAAGTATTTTAGTCCCTCCTATGTGCTTTTCAGTGTGCAGGGTACTAGAACTGGGCTTCATAGGAACTTTTTGTGAAAATATAAGATAGAAAATATAGGAAGAAAGGTCATTAGAAGATTAGTGTCACTGAGAGTCTAACCTGAATATATTGGAAGACAGGGATATCAGGAAAAATTTAGGAAGCTTTTTAAGTAAGTTTTGTGAGGTGACCTAACATAGTGTAGTGAAACAAAACGTAAACATTAAGCCTATTTTTGTTACCTTTTCCTAAGTCATTTCTTAGAACAAATCAAATCATATCAGTAAGTGTTATTTGAATATCTCAGGTATCTAAGGATCCAGCTTTGCAGATCCCTCATCCTTTAGCTGTAGCCTGTTTGGAAGCAGAAAAGGTGCTAAAGTAACTAGCAAAAAAACCAGTTGTGATGGAAGGAAAATTGTACTTGTCTATAAAACTGGTCCCTTCGCCATTGCTTAGCTCGCAGTTTGTAAAATATCAGCAGCCTTTTTATATGAAAGCTGAGAAGAGGCTGTCAATACACATTAAAAACTGCAAGTAGAGATTGGTGATAGCAGCTAAAGGTGAAAGCAACTAGGAACAGCAGAGGTAAGATAAAGAAATTGAGGAGTAGCTCCATTCCCCTTATAAAGCCTTAGGTATCTCCACTTTGGTTTTTCTTATCAAAGAGGGTAGCTTGAAGGAAGAAACAAGATTGTACAATAAAAAGCTACCTAAGTTGTATTCTAGTATTTTTTTTCCACCACACCCTCCATTATTAGCTTATTAATTCAACTTTTTAGTCAACAAATAGTACATGTTTCATAAAAAGTTCATTATGTGAGCAACAACATTAAAGGTTGTATTGTTTCTTACACCCAGAAAAATGTGTCTTGGGTTTTAAAAAAAAAGATATTTTGCAATAATGAACAATCAGCTGACTGTTGGAGTAAGTTGTATCCAAGTTCTTTGCCACAGATGTTTAAAATTATGAAATACTTCTTTTCATTCTCCATCCATAGGCTGGAGTACAAGGGAAAAGAGTACAAGCTGACAAGGAGTTGCATGTGATCTGTTGTGGTAAAACCAATAAAGCAGACAAGTCACACACCCTACTATGAACTGTGAAGATTTTTCTAGTGACTTGAATATTTTAGACTAATGTCTTCATTAATTTTGCAGAGAGCTAGTCAAGTTACAGTTTGTAGTTGTATGCCGTTGCTAATATTTCATTCTAACTCGATAAGAAAAAGGATAAAGAGGCCAGGCGCGGTGGCTCACGCCTGTAATCCCAGCACTTTGGGAGGCCGAGGCGGGCAGATCATGAGGTTAGGAGATCGAGACCATCCTGGCTAACACAGTGAAACCCCGTCTCTACTAAAAATAAAAAAAAATTAGCTGGGCATGGTGGCAGGTGCCTGTAGTCCCAGCTACTCAGGAGGCTGAGGCAGGAGAATGGCGTGAACCCAGAAGGCGGAGCTTGCATTAGCCGGGCATGGTGGCAGGCGCCTGTAGTCCCAGCTACTCAGGAGGCTGAGGCAGGAGAATGGCGTGAACAGGGGAGGCAGAGCTTGCAGTGAGCTGAGATCTCACCACTGCACTCCAGCCTGGGTGACAGAGCGAGACTCCATCTCAAAAAAAAAGAAAAAAAGAAAAAGAAAAAGGATAAGGAACACACACTGAGGAGTTCCGCTGGAGATGTATATATTTGCCTTCTACTCCATACCAGTTGCCCAACTATCATTCCATAGAACATGGTAAGAACTAATGTTCATCATGTTAACCCTCGGTGCTTAAAAAAAACAATGAAATAAGTAGGTAGTCTACTCCAGAAGGAATTTAATTAAAAATGGTTGTTTTGACACATAATTCAACTATTTAAAAACTTGGATCTCCCATATGATCCATTCCCAGAGAGTTCCATATAAACGAGGTATTAATATATGCACAAGTACAGAAAAATAAAAAATCCTTTCTTCTGAGAGAAACAATCTAGGTAGGAAAAGCAGGAAGTTAAATAGTTCAAGAGAAGAGATTACAAATAAGTATGTAATTAATTAATATGCTATAGGAATTCAGGGAAGGAGAAAGCACTTCTTTCACAGAAGGAATGGGATTTTAATAGGTTTTTAAAGTTTGAGTAAACTTTAGGGAGGAAAGTAGAGTATATGGTAGGTTAGTACTAAGAAGTAGCAGGAAGGCCCATTATCTTCAAACGTCAATATTTGATTATAAATTCCTTGAAGTGGATTTACAAGGGGTAGACTTTTATTCACTTAGCTTTAAAGGCACTCAGTAAGTATCAGTTGAGTCAAGTTGATTTGTTGCTAAATAAAGGTAACATAAAGAGAATTCTTCTGTGTTCTTCCGTTTAAAATTCTAACCTTTATGAAAAAAAAAAAAGTCAGGTATGCTTATTTGAAATATCATGAATACAAAGGAATCAGACAACTGAATGAATTTTTTTTTTCCTTGGACAGGTCTGTTGCTTCTGAACTTGAAAAGATACAGAAGTTTAACTGTATCCTTTAAACAGAATGCACTGTCCTACATAATTACTCTCTTTCGTTCTAGGCTTAATTCATGACTTCAGTACTTTGTGAATATTAATCTATACTTAATATATTGCTAACCTTTATTGAGTTAGCAAATACTTAAGATTGTAATTTAAGATGGATCTTGTCCATAGAAGGTATAGCATGTTAACATTTATACTTTTCTTGAGTTTAAATTGGATAAAGAACAGTTAATTAGGGTTAAGGTCTCCTTTGGAAACTTTTTCACTTACATAATTATAAAATTATAGCTGTATAAGACCTCTTTTTTTTAAATGAAATATTTCGTTCTGTACATTCTCACCCAATTCATCTAAATTTGTTTTCTCTTGTGATTTTGCTCTAATCTTATTCAAATAAGTTCTGTAGTGAACAGGTTTTTCACTCTAAATCTTTTAAAATTAAAAATAGACACTACACAGATTCCTTATAATCCTATCATCCTACTCTTTAATTCCCATATCATTTCTTCATTTAAAGAAATGTTACTGAGATTTTCATTATTTCCTCCTTACCACCAAACCTCCACCCAAACACACACATACACTCTCTGTTCTCTTTCCCCCTCCTTTAGACTCTAACTAGTTTCTTCATTTACAAGGAGCAGACTTGATAAGCCTTGCAGTTCTAACTCTATTATGAATCCAAGAGGTCTTCCAGCTGAGAAATATTCAATATGAAGGCTATGCTTTCTGAATATAAAGATATTTATATAATGAAACATGTGGGGAAAACTCCCTTAACTAAGCAACTTAGTGCTACTAGAGAATAGTGGTATCCTAAACCAGATTTCTAACAAGAAAAATGAACAGCCTTCTGATCATTATAAACCGGGATCTTCAGAAACCTTGCTAGGAGAAGTTAATGAAAACAGAGTATCAATAGCATTGAAAAAAACCTCTGAAATCCTTCACGATATTGACTGTCTTCTATCAAACTCTAAAAAATGAAAAATGGAATTATTACAACATATTATTAAAAGTTTTAAGGATGTTGTTTCAAGTGACTGGTATAAAATTACTAGTAAGCCAAGATATTGTACGTATTACCCCTACACAATGATTGTGAAAGAACTGACATTTAACTTTGAAGGTATTTTTATTTAATTTGTACATTTTTAAAATATGTATTTGTATTTTATTAATAAATAACTATCTTGAAGTTTTGAACTGTTTCACATTTAATTCTTATTTCAGATTTATGAGAAAAAAATTTGTAAAGTTATAAAGTTGTTGCTGTTTTTATCTTGTGGAGCATTCACTATTAATCTTCCGGTTTGTTCATTTTGTTTGTTTTTATTGTTGACATATGGTCTTGCTCTGTCACCCACGCTGCAATGCAGTCGTGCAATCATAGCTCACTGCAGCCTTGAACTTGTGGGCTCATGGGATTTTCCCACCTCAGCCTCCCGAGTAGCTGGAACCACAGACATGCACCACCACACCTGGCTAATTTTTAAAAATAATCTTTGTAGAGACGGGAATCTCCCTATCTTGCCCAGGCTGGTCTTGAACTCATGGCTTCAAACTATCCTACCTCCATTTCCCAAAATGACAGGATTACAGGTGTGAGCCACTGCACCCGGCCTCTTTTTTTTAATATGCAGAATTGTGCATTTTTTCACTTGCTATTTGGTCCCTTTACTCCAAGTATTTTTCAATAGAGCTATGAGACAAGAACCAGATCTGAAAAAAAAGGAGACAAGCAACATTGTAAACTAAAAATCAGGCACTTTGGCAAAGACTGTATCTAAACTGTCTCATGAACCAGATACTTTCTTTTGAACACAGGAAAAGATTTATGCTGTAAAGTGTTTAACAGAAATGAGCTCACCAAAAGTGCTATTATAAGCTTGTCTATTAGGAAAGAACAAAACCACATCTGTAAAGACGTCAAGATTACACCAAACACAACCAGAAATGTTCTAATTTTCTGATTTGTATAAAAGACCTGGCTTTTCAAATGAAAGGGAAGCAGTAACAGAGAAAACGAGAAAAATGGGGAGAAGAGTGTAGATCAGGAATGATAATCTCACTAAGTTAAAGGGGCACAATGCCTTTTTTTTAGTTCCTCTGACACTGGATTCCTTCACATTTCAATTCTGAAGTACCATTTCCTCATAAGGGCCTCCCATACTACCTGACTAAAGTTAGCGTCTCCCAAGTCTATTATATCACCCCACTTACTTCCTTTACAGTACTTATTACAATCTGTCTACCTTGTTTCCTTATGGCTCACACCCTCCACTAGAACTTGAGTTCCATAGTCATTCTGTGGCACACTGAGAACACTGTATAAATGAATCAGTAAGCTGGGCACAGTGGCTCACGCCTGTAATCCCAACACTTTGAGAAGCCAGGGAGGGAGTATCACTTGAGCCCAGGACTTCAACACCAGGCTGGGCAACATAAGCGAGATGCCTATCTCTACAAAAAACTTAATTACCTTCACGATGGCATGTGCCTGTGGTCCCACCTACTCCAAAGGCTGAGGCTGGAGAATCCCTTGAGCCCAGGAGGTCAGGGCTGCAGTGAGCTATGATTGCACCACTGCACTCCAGCCTGGGTGACAGAGGGAGACCCTATCTCAAAAAAAAAAAAAAAGAAATGAATAAGCATCTACAGGCAGTAGACTGACTACAGAGAAAAGAACTATTATTACATTGTCTGGGTTTGCATGAAGCCATCTACGTTGTTCCTTGATAGCTCCGTAAGGCCTAGATTATAAGACTTGTACCACACTGCCAAAAGGGTAATGCCAAATTACTGCATTCAGAAAGAGAAAATTTGTCCTTAACATGGCTAAAAGCACTCAAAATTGTAAATACATTTGCTGAGAAATACTTTAAATTCTCATTTAAGTTATGTGGGGGTTAAAATGTGTTTAATTTTCCCTGTCAGTTGGGTCTTTTACATTGGCTAAGAACCAAGAGTGTGACAAGAAATGAGTTCTATGATTGAGAAACTCTTGAGATTCTGGGGATGGCCTAGGAGTTTGCTTTGAGATTGAAGTTTATTTTCTATGGTCAACTATATAATTACGATGATACCACCCCTTGCTTTCCATCTGACACTTGGTTTGAGAAACTGTAAGTAGGAAAGGGAAAGAAGAATGTCCCTCCTTGGGACTCTTCTTTTGGACCCGTGCTTCCTAGAGTCAAACGTCAAGCTGGTATTTCCTTGCTGCTAAGAGAGCAACCACTACTCTGAGGCAGAGACGGGATGGGACCTAGCCAAAGTCCCAGTAAACAAACTGTATCTTGTAAGCGCGATTTAATCAGGGTCAAACTACTCTGGACTTGCTTTTTCGACTTCTAAGGATTTAGTAGTCATGATTAAGTGTTCTAGTCACGCTACTGCGGTCTACAAACAGTAGCTCCACAACATCCGCCCGCATCGTGGCAACGAATTATCAAGAAATCCCCAAGGGGGCGGTGAGGCGCTACCGAGGAGCGGCCGGTCAGCCAGGTCGCGAGGTCCCAGTCTGGTGAAAAGCTCCGTTGCCCACCCTGAGGGGTTCGCGGAAGGAAGTTGGCAGTATCGCTGCACCTTCGAGACGCGACGGCCGAGGCTCCTAGCTCAAGCTTCTGACAGTAAGGCCTGTATGCCTTGCATTCGGGGAGGCCACTTCTCAGTCACCAGCTTTCTGGCCACCACTTGGGTGCGTCGTAGGGATGTCGGCAGCTACGTTTGCCGCACGGCTCCGACTAAACTGAAAAACGAATCCTCAAGTTTGACAAAAGTAAACTAAGAAGGCACTTTCCTCCTCTCACCCTGACGTCCCAAAAGTTTCCTTTTTAGGGGTCAGGGCCTACGGTGGGCGAGGAGAAACGAGGTATCTACCCACTGCACCAAACAGTACTCGTACGTCACCTCCTTTCGACTTGGAGCGGGCCAGTATCCCGGCGTCCTCTCGGCTGACGCTGCGGTCTGAAGCCACTCTGGCCTGCAGCCGACGTCTCTATGGTTCCGACCGAGGGGAGGAGGAGAGGGGCGGGGACGCTGTTCGAGCTGCTGCTTGTTTGAACTCAGAGAACCTGGGGTGGGTACGGCTGAGCCGCTGCGAGGGACTGAGGGGAGGGGGTGGGGTGGAAGCCGCGGAACTGCGTCCTGAGGTGGGAGACCGGAGGTGGAGACCACCGAGTCTGATGTCTGGAGGGTCCGGTTGCGGGTCGGAGGGCGTGCTGGAACAGCCGGCACGCGGGAACCAGGAGTCTGCTGGGTGCGTGTGACCCACGAGCTGGCACTGTCCCGCGGCCCTGGGGTCTGCGAGGAGCCCTGGCGCCGCCTTCCGGCTTCGCTCTTTTTTAGATACTTAGAACCCCAGCCCGCCGCCTTGGCTCCGCGCCCCTGGCCTTTTTCTGGCCCAGGGTAGGGTTCCGCGAGTCTTGCAGGAGGAGCCCATTGCAGTCCTTAACCGGTTGTAAGAGCCTTTCGCGCCCCGGAGCCCTTGAGGCTTGAATGCTGAAAGTGTGACATGGTCCCTTCCCTGCAACCTGGCCCATTTTTTTTAAATGACATTTAAAAAATTATTGCATCACACCAGACTCAGAAAAGGATGTCTGGGAACTTCTGAGGCTTGAAACATGTTGAAATACAGAATTTCGTTTTATTCGTAGTGGGCATAGGAACTAAACATTTTAAGTGCAGACATCTAATGGCTATAAAAAGTTTCAGTGAAAGTAAGCAAGATTTGTGTTTCCTTCCTTTGTCAGTTAGTTGCATCAGATTTGGCATCTGCTTTTGATATTTTTCCATTAAAGAAATTAAATATATTAAGTTTACAACAACTACAGTTAAGTGAAGAGGTCTTACTGGTAAAGTATAATAAAGGCGGTTTCAGGAATTTGAACTGTGTTTTGACCTTAGGTTTTTGCATATAACGTGTCAGGTTGGTGGGGAGGAGGGAAAGTTAAAACAGATGACATTTACTTAGAGAATGTATCAGCTCTTATTTGTTTTGACAGAAATAATGTCTAAGAGATTATTAGCAAACAATACATGATATCGTATAATTAAAATGACCAGCTAATCATATGTTTGTGGAATTCAGGAAGGAGAAAAGTACTGCTATGTATACTCTGAAGGCCCCAAAGTTAGTGGTATTTGCTATATGGGGGATGGGGTGTGACAAAGTTTGGCCATTGCAGAAAGTGGCTTCTGCGAGTCATAAGGAGGAATTTATAATATGTCAGTTATGTCAGAGAAGTCATCCCAAACAGTATATTTAGTTCATAGGCTGAGGATTTATTATGTGATTACCCCTTGTATTAGTAAAATGGAATATTTATTAAATACCTTGAGCACATTGGATTTTAAGCATGACAAGTTTAAAAGAGATCACTACTCTTAAGGAACATTCTCAACAAAAATGAATATGTAAAATAAACTTAAAGCTTATGAATTTAGGAGGTTCGGGAGTCCGTTTTATTTGTAGGGGGAGGAATAGGAAGTGGAAAAGGAAATAAGTTTAAGAAGAAAAATGGGTACGCTTAGGTGTATTTTTCAGAGACAATAAGTAATACAGGAAGAACACTTAGTAAATTTCTCTTTTTCTAATACTCAGAATCTAAGCCAGATGCTAAATATCTGCACCAAAAGTTGTAGTAGAATAGATGCCAGAAATGTGGGGTTCTGGAGCTGCAATTATACCTTCCTTAAAAATAGAAATAGTACTCTTCCACATATCTGTTCTGTAATAAATTACACCAAAATTTAGAGGCTTAAAACAGTAGACAATAGGGGCCGGCTCACGCCTGTAATCCCAGCACTTTGGGAGGCCGAGGCGGGCAGATCACGAGGTCAGGAGATCGAGACCATCCTGGCTAACACGGTGAAACCCCATCTCTACTAAAAATACAAAAAATTAGCCAGGCGTGGTGGCGGGCGCCTGTAGTCCCAGCTACTCGGGAGGCTGAGGCAGGAGAATGGCGTGAACAGGGGAGGCAGAGCTTGCAGTGAGCCGAGATCATGCCACTGCACTCCAGCCTGCGTGACAGAGCCAGACTCCATCTCACACGCACACACAAAACAAAGTAGACAATAATTTTATTCTTTCTGCGAGGTCAAGACTTAGCTGGCAGTTCTGGCCAAGGGTCTCATGAAGTTGCAGTCAGGATGTCAGCAGTGGCTGCAGACATCTGAAGGGTTGACTGGGGCTGAAGGATCTGCTTGCAAGTTCACTGTGAGCTTTTTCCTTCCTCTTTCATCAGCAAGCTGTTTTGTACTTTCCATTGATAAAATGCATTCACATTATACCTATTATGTATAATATATGTGTTCCTATTTGTAAATCGTGATACAGTTATTTGTAAACAGTAAATTTTGCTTGTTGAGGTTGCTTTAAATTTGGATCATCATGTAAATACTTCAAGTAATCTTTTGATTTTTCGCTTTGCTCATGATACTTTATTAGCAAACTAATCCTTTTAAAATCTGAACTCATCATGTAAAATGTAGGGTTAGTAGGTTCGGTGTGGTAGTTTATGCCTATAGTCCCAGCACTTTGGGAGGCCAAGGTGGAAGGATCACTTGAGGCCAGGAGTTGAAGACCAGCCTGGGCAACACAGTGAGACCCCATCTCTACAAAACACTTTAAAAACAAAAATTTAGCCAAGTATAGTTGTGCATTTCTATAGTCCTAGCTACACAGGAGGCTGAAGCAGGAGCCCATGAATTCAAGGTTACAGTGAGCTATGATCATGTCACTATGCTTCAGCTTGGGCAACAGAGATACCTTGTCAAAAAAAAAAAAAAGTAAGATTATTAACATTTAAATATATATTGTGATTATTAAAAATTGCTTCGTGAGGGAAAGAAAATATGCACTGGCTTTATAAGGACGTCATGAAATTTGCAGTTAAGTGGATATTGGCTTTTTATTTTTGTCTTCCTTCTGAAAAGAGGGTTGAAAATAAATTGGTAATTAGGTCAGACTCAGTGGCTCACTCCTATAATCCCAGTGCTTTGGGATGCTGAGACAGGAGGAACACTTGAGACCAGGAGTTTGAGACCAGCCTGGACAACATAGAGGGACCCTGTCTCTTCAAAAAAGGAAAAAAGAAAAAATTACCCAAGCTTGGTGGCACTTGCCTGTAGTCCCAGCTACTCAGGAGGCTGAGTCAGGAGAATTGCTTGAGCCTAGGAGTTAGAGGCTAAAGTGAGGTACGACCTTACTCACTCCAGCCTGGGCAACAGAGCAAGACTTTGTCTCTAAAAAAAGAAAAGAAAATTTGTGATTATATATAAACAAAGGTTGAGTGGCAGCAGAGCTTTTGTGTTAGGCATCTGTGTACTCTGTGTCCAGCCTAGGTTTTTCTCATACCTTAATGGCCTTCTTTCTCCTTAGGGCTAACTTACAGGCCATACTTTACTGAAGGAGGGGAATATTGCTGCTGCTGCTGCTGCTCTGGGTTGGCCATTAATTCAAGTTTTCAGTATCCCACTTTCAGTCCAGCTAAGTGGATAAGGGCATTTATTTTTAGTTGAAAGGGACATTTTATCAACTTTAAAGTTATATGCATTAAATATTTAAATATGTTGACTTCTTTCTCCATTCAGGTGTTGAATGTTTGTTTTCTAAAGGAGACAATGATTCATAATTTGTGACACTATAAATCCTGAGGTTTATAGAAAGGATTCATGACTTTGTAATGGAGGTGTCTTTTGCATTTTTTGTATTTTGGTCACATCTCTTTGTTGAGAGTACCTGGAAATCAGTATTTCCAGATCCTGGAAGAATCTATAGAAAATAATCCATCTTAATGCTTTAGATAACAATTTTCATTATTGCAAATAATCAAGAATGAGCATCGTTGTAGACTCCATTATCATTTAAAAAATAGTTGTTATCTGCAAAGTAAGTATGCTTCACATAAGGAATCTGCGTAAGTTGTTTCTTGTGTCCATTATTACATAACTGAACAAATTGTTTTTATATTATACAATAAATTTGATTTATGAGATTGGATGTAATTTTATTAATACCAATTAGTGTTATATATTTAATGTATTTATTAATATATATGTTATAAATTTTTTATTACCTTTTTAAAATTATGCTTTTAAGAGGCTGACTTTAATGATCAAATATGAGTTGTTTAATTACTTCTGGCTTTAACTTTTCAAAGTAGCTTTATTGGTTTTATGGTCATAAGACATTGAAATTTTTCAAAAATTCAAAAAAGGAAAAAAAAGTAGTGATTACATTTGTAAGCCCACCACTGAGAAACAAACCAAATGAACAGCCTTCCAGATTTTTTAATAGACCCGTATATATATTTTTTAACAAAAATGTAATTTTTTACATATTATTTTATAGGCTATCTTTTAAAATTTAATACTTACTGAACATCTTTCTGTGTCAGTAAATATGAGAATAAGTATTTTTAATGGCTGCATATTTGTGGAATTTATTTCACTAGAGCCATATTTCAGACATATATATTGTTTTAAATTTTTTCTTGTAAACAGTGCTATGCTGAACATTCATATATAGTTGTCTGTATTTATCTAATTATTTCCTTATTTTCCTAGAATTGGAAATGTAGCATCAAAAGTGTTTGCTTATTTTTTGTGGTTTTTGATACATAGTCAAATTGACCACTAAAAAGGTTATATCGATTTACACTCTTGCCAATAATCTTTGAGAGTGATCATTATTTCCCTACTCCTGTCACCGAGTATTACTAATCTTTTGTCAGTCTTACATTGAAATCTCATTGTTATAATTTGAATTCAACTGATTACTAATAAAATTGAAATCTTTTCATATTTTTTGACCATTTGTATTTCTTTTCCAAATTGTCTTTTCATGTACATTGCCCACATTATTATTGGGATGCTTATATCTGTATTAATTTTTAAGAGCCCTTAATACATTAGGGCTACTAATCTTTCTCTGTCATAAATGCTCTAAATTTTCTCCATTTATTTGTCTTTAACTTTGCCATGCAGAAACTTTATTGTGTAGTCATGCCTATCAGATTTTTAAAAATAATTTTGAGCTCTTCTAGCTAAAAGCTTTACATTATTGTGTAGTCA